CAAATGGATTATTTTAATTATTCATTTACCATTTAACAAACGTTATTTCTTCCAAAGGTAATGAACAATTAATAAAGTGAAAATAAGAAGTAAATAATCAGATGTATTCAATTATACCTAATACTTTTCATAGAGTAGATATAGAATCAATATCAGTGAATCTATGACACATCTTATTCTGTTGAACACTTGTCGTCTGTATTTATTTGTGTTCATCTGTTTGATAAAGTTAATTTCAAAAAGAACAGACATATATATAGTTATAGGAATAAGTACATACACACGTCTAAGGACCGGAGTCAGGCAAGGCTGTCTACTCTCTCCCTTCCTCTTTCTTCTGGTGGTCGACTGGATTATGAAGACCGCGGGATCTGAGGTAAAACACGGAATGCAATAGACAGCTCAGAATCAATTAGACGATATGGACTTCGCAGACGACCTAGCCCTCCTATCACGTACACACGAACAGATGCAGACGAAGACAGCCAGTGTAGCAGCAGTCTCTGCATCAGTAGGCCTCAGCAAACACAAAGGGAAAACCAAGGTCCTCAAATTCAAGGCGGAGAACAGCAATCCAATCACTCTTGATGGCGAATTTCTGGAGGATGTAGAGTCCTTCACATACCTGGGAAGCATCATCGATGAACAAGGAGGTTCAGATGCAGACGTAAAGGCGAGGATCGGCAAAGCAAGAGTCGCATTCCTACAATTGAAGAACATATGGAACTCAAAACAACTTTCAACCAATATCAAAGTGAGAATCTTCAATACGAACGTCAAGACAGTTCTACTGTATGGAGCTGAAACTTGGAGAACTACAACAACCACAATCAAGAAAGTACAAGTATTTATAAATAGCTGTCTACGCAAGATAATCAACATCCATTGGCCAGATACCATCAGCAATAGCCTACTGTGGGAGAGAACAAAGCAACTTCCACCTGAAGAAGAAATTAGGAAAAGACGATGGAAATGGATAGGGCATACATTACGCAAATCGTCAAACTGCATCACGAGGCAAGCCCTAACCTGGAATCCTGAAGGGAAACGGGAATGATGAAGGCTGAAGAACACACTACGTCAGGAAATAGAATCAGATATGAAAAGGATGAATAACAATTGGAAAGATCTGGAAAGGATTGTCTAGGACAGGGTTGGATGGAGAATGCTGGTGAGCGGCCTCTGCTCCTTCACGAGGAGTAACAGGCGTAAGTAAGTAATATTATTGATGTGTGGTTGAAAATGATAATGATTGGTTGTTTGTTTAGTCAGACTTTCCGATAGTCTGACAGGAGTTAGATGACTTATATATTATCCTATCCTTACAATTATTGGATTGTGTCGGAGTGATATCGGTTTTTGGTATGGAAATATATTTACGTTCCAGTCAGGCTAATCATCACATGTTCTTGATCTGAATTGTGTTGAAGTCCTGTAGAAAGAATAGACACTAGGAAGGAATCTAATATACATATATATATATATTCATCTAAGGTAAAGTGACGTCTCATTCGTAAAGGCAAAGTAAAACCAACCGTTATCAAAATTATTAAAAAAATATCAGCAAAGATTGTTGTACAACGTTTTGTTGATTAGAGAAAACGTTGTTGTCGATTCTCATTTTGTTTTTGTTTTCTTTGTAAAGTTAAATAAACAATCGTGAAATTTGATTTTTGTTGATTGTTAGGTGTAAACAAAGTGTTAATATTGTAATTATTTACATTATATTAACCTACTAATAATATTATTCTGTTATGTCATCATTGTCTTTTCATTGTTTATGTCTTATCATGTAATCAATACTTAAAATTTTGTGTAAATATATATCTAAAGTATCCTGGAGATTATGGTTCACACTAACAAGGACGTTAGTAGAAGAGAGTATGAAACAATGCACGCTTAAAAAGGGTGTACATTAATAAGGGTGGATATCGAAAGGCCGACCATTAAAAGGGGTGCGTTGATAAAGATGAACATAGAAAGTTACTTACTTACCTATGCCTGTTACCCATTGTCAAGGAACATAGGCCACCCACCACCCTTTCCAATTCTTTCCAGTTGTTATTCATTATTTTCATATCTGATTCTATTTCCCAACGTAATGTATTTTTTGACCTTCCTACTTTCCGTTTCCCTTCAGGATTCCAAGTTAGCTCTTACCTTGTGATGCAGTTTGATGATTTGCGTAATGCATGTCCTATTCACTTCCAACGTCTTTTCCTAATTTTGTCTTCAAACGGAAGCTGGTTTATTCTCTCCCATAATAGGGTGTTTCTGGTGATTTTCGGCCAATGGACATTAAGTATCTGGTGTAGAAATTTTTTTATACATAAATGTACTCTTTTGGTGATGGTTGTGGTAGTTCTCCAAGTTTCATCTCCATACAGTAGGACTGTCTTGATGTTCGTATTGAAGGTTCTTACTTCGATATTGGTTGAACAGGAGAAATAAAATTTTTAATACTATATGTGTCTTCGATCCGACCTTTGTCCCTCTGTTTTATGACGAATCAAAGAAGTCGTTATCTTAACGTCTAATCAAATGTCTTATTCTTATTATTCATTCTCAACCCAGGATGTTGGATCGATGGGCAGAACACTTTGGGAATCAGTTAACTAGCCTTCAGCCACACTTCGGTTTCCCACGATCTCCACTCAACCTGAATGGCAAGTTAAAGTAAATCCTGCAACTTTTTACAAAGTTGAAAAAGCTATGGGAAATCTGAAGCATGGGAGAGAAGCAGGACCTGACAGGTTTACCTTTGAGATTTTTTAGGATGGCGCTTCAGTATTAGCAGCGAGATTGACTGAGATCTTGGGTAGAATCTGGGAACTGGGCGCAATCCCATCTGACTGACCTCAATCACTGATTGCGCCAGTCTATAAGAAAGGACAAAAGTCATCTTGTGACAATCACAGAGGAGTCAGTTTGACTAATATTGTGTCTAAAATATTAGCTTCAATAATACTTCGACACCTAACCAATGCTCGTGAATAGCAGATTAGAGAAAACCAGACTATTTTTCGACCTGGACGTGGTTGTATAGACTAAATATTCACACTACGTCAGGTCCTAGAACATAGCCACACATTTAGACATTCCACAATAGTGGTATTTCTCGGCCTTAAGGCGGCATTCGATCATGAGGTTCTATGGCAATGTTTGTTTCTGACCCTTTGTATAATAGATCAAGTTTCAACAATTCATCTTTAACAAAAGGCGGCCCAATTGAATATCTGGGGTGACTGTCCCTACTATCTAGATATTTCAAAAAGTTATCTGTTTCCTTATTTGTTCTAACATATCATTATGTCAATTAATTGCATATCCTATTCAAGTGTGTTTGTGGAAATTTTACGACCTTTCGCTGTACAAGTTACAAAAAAGTACAATCAGAGACATTGTGGTAGATGTCAATATGCGTCGAAAAGAATGTACATTATTCAAATGTCTATTCCTGAACTACTAACATATAACTGGCGATCACCCAATAGTTGCCATCTGGATCGACCAAGTAATAGGAAACGGAAACTTGTTGAAACATTTTGTGCTGAGAATTCTATATTGTACCAAAATTATAATATCGAATAAAACCACTAATAGTAATAGTAATAGTAATAATAGTAATAATAATAATGGCAATAATAATATTAGTAATAATAATAATAATAACAGTAGTAAGAATAATAATGGTCATAATAGTAGTAGGAGTGTGGTGTGTGCCACTTATATTGACATAAGTAGTATATAACAATAGTCAGAATTAGAATATCTGGCAGAAGAAGGTGGAGAAGAAAGGAACAGGGACAGAAAACGTTTGATATGAAAATGCAAAAAGAATGAAGTCTGAGATGATTGACTGATAAATGCGAAAGGAACAGTCAAGTTTAAGACAACTGATTGATATTTTTCAAATTAAGTATTCACTGTATAGTTCTCAGATTTTACTAAGATGTGCTGTAGTTTTGTGTCCAAATGCATTCGATCATCAGTATAGGGTTGTGGAGATTACTAAGTTGGCTGGCCGTTTCGTCCTACTGTGGGACTCCTCAGCAGTGTGCAATCGCGATCCTAACCACGGGATTCGAACCCCAGAATCTTCGGTGTCGCGCACGAATACTTAACCTCTAGACCACTTAGTCGGCATCCAACGGTGTTATTGTCTAACCTCAACTAATCCACACACTTGCGAGACCATCTTCTATAGTAATGAGGTAGATACCTGTCTCTACCCGACACAGATTAGCTCCACTGGTCACAGCTCCTCACTAGAACTCCTAGAATTCCCTCACGAAGTTAGTCCCTAGTGAGCACATGATTATTATCATTATATGGTTGTAAAGATTATCAAGTTTTTGGCTGAGACCATTAACCGATTGACGAAAAGGCCATCCAGTGCTTCCAGGTTTTCAATAGTGGTCTAACATCAATCGTTTCATAATCTCAGTCAAAAACATCCGATTATCCCCACTTGTGTTTCCGTTCACTACAGTAGTATTAATGATAATAATAACAATATTAATAATAGCAGTAATACTGTAGTGAACAAGAACAAGAACGGGAAAAACGAATGTATTTGACACGAAATTACCGAGCATCTCAATAAAATATCAATCCATCATCTTAAACTTGACTGTTCCTGTTGCAAACATCAATCCATTGTCTCAGATTTCATTGTTCATGCGTTTTCATACCAATTGCGTTCCGTTTCCATTCCTTCCTTATCGATCTTCTACGGAAATACATTCTATGCCTGACCACAGTTATATACTACTTATATGGATATAAGTAACTCACATCACAATACTAATAATAGTAATAGTAATCATACTAACTATAACAGTACATTATACAAAATGAATTCGTTCCAAATTAAATAACATGGTAATAACAACCAATGTAAATATAAACTAACATTCATTCATCCATTCATTCTTTTGTTTAATTATCCATATATATAAATATCATATTTCAATGTACTCAATATGAAATTACTTTACAAATATTATTCAATAATTAACCCTATAAATACCTTAGTAATTCATCTGTTAGATATGACTTCATTATGTTGACTAAATTCATATTGATTTTTGTATCTGTTTTCATAGGGATTGTGACATTTGACAGTTGTCAAGGTAAGTCAAAATACTATTGATACATTGAAAAATTTTTCTATTGACAAACATCATACTTTATCAATTAGGGAACAAATAAGATGATGAGATCAGAATTAAACATTCATAATAATCATGACTTATTAGATAGATTTAAAATGCAAGATATAATGATGTAATGACATTGTGATGTGGGTTACTTATATCCATATAAGTAGTATATGATAGTGGTCAGGCATAGAAGATATTTCAGTAGAAGGTCAAGAAGGAAAGAACGGGAATGGAAAGCAATTAATATAAAAACGAAGGAAGAATGAAATCAGAGACGATGGATTGATATTTTGCGAATTAACTATTTACTATATGGTTCTCAGATTTTAGTGAGATGCTCTATAATTTCGTGTTAGATACATTCGATTTTCCTCACTCCTGCTCTTCTTCATTACAGCGCAACTAGGTATCATTTCAATGTCTATAAAGTTCTTAGTACTATATAGGTTGAAGTTTATTAATAATATTCCTACTGTTATAGAATGGTTATAAAATTATTCGTTTTGTTATCCATCTATTTGTTTTGAATTCAAACGGATAAATAGTATAAATAAGTGTATTTGTAATATCCAAATGAGTAGAAAAATTAGATTTTCTGACGTTTCGTAACTTAGTTTAATTCACCTCTTCAGAGTAGATAACTAACCGAATCAAAATTAATTCAAGTACAATGGAACAGTACAAGAATATTATGTGCGATCAATAAAAAAACCCAGGTCTGAACAAGTCAATGTCATGTCATTTCACTCAAAGTGATTCATAAGTGACATGTATGTAAATTTGTGTGTATGTATGTCTGCATTGTTAAGGATGAAAAATGTGTGACCCTGATAGTGAGAAAGGATAGAGTTTAATTTGTAAGATAATAGTGTGAATTGTGAATAATATCAGACTAGCTGGATAGTGGTTGGAGGTAGTTGACAGGAGATCTTGGACCCGGGTTTCGTGCTACTTGGCACTCGTCAACAAGGTGTACCTGTAATCTTGAGGGAACTGGTGCTCCCTGACAGGTTTGATCCCGTGTCACCCAGCTTCACAGTCAGAGACGTTACCACTGAGCCATCCGAGCCGCGACCGACCTCCAGTAGGACCGAGGTGTAATCACAATTGGTTGGTCACTGGGTGTTGACCAATGTCAGATGTGTCAAGTCCTTATTAATGCAGATCGAATGCTATCGACCATGTTGCAATGTGGCCATCAGTCTAGTTGACTCGACACTGCGGGCACTATTGTGAAATTAGATGGTGGTTGGAGGTAGTCGACAGGACTAGCTGGTTAGGATAGATAGTCCAAGTAGGATGTATGGTAAGGCCTTCTTTTCTATTGAGAGAAGTAGGATTAAGTATTATATAGAACGCTACATTTAATCTTTTTTCTTTGTAATTGCAAGAAAACCTTTTGCAATATTTTGATATGTTTGAAATCGATTTGGTGGTCTTTGAAAATAGTACATTTAGCTCCAAAATAACAAACATACTTCAAAGCTTAGAACATAGTTAATGAGAGATTAGGAATTCACGTGTGAGACCAATGATCCTGAACTCTATTCAGGGTTGTATGGTCGTGGATGAGTACTTCTGTGGATACCCATACAATGTTAAGACAGTTGTCTGGTGTTTACAATTTTTCAGCAGTTAATTAACTCAGATCATCATGTGATTTTAATGAAATTTAATAGTTACGACAACTCTGTAGACCATACCATGAAATTCACTCAGAATTTGACTATCTGTCTTATAAATTAGTGAGTTACTTTCAACTTGATTGAAAATATTTTTATGAACTCACTTGGTATTGTTTACTTGAATCTTCCCATTGATGTTTAAAAACTGCGATTGATCAGTTTCTTATTGGCATATGTGTATACTGTGCTCGTTGCTTGCAGTGGAATCCAGGACGCAAGTTCCATAGTGAACATCAACTCTGAGATGCAAGTACATTCGACTGACGAGTCCCGAATAGGACAAAACGCGTGTTCTGAATTCCATGGCTAGCCACCAACCATCTTTGCTTATAATGCTTGTGAATTGAGGCAATACTGAGACAATTCTTACAGGATGTACATATGCTAGTAAGAAACTGATTAATTACGGTTCTAAACATTCATGGGAAGATTCAAACAACCAATACGAAATGAATTTAAACTTCACTCGATTGCATAAGCTAATGGCTACCAGTAATCAGTAGCTAAGTGGATAACGAGATGGCATTTGAAGCGAAAGGTAATGGTTTCGAGTCCCAGAGTGAACGTCAACTCTGGACGAAACGCGTGTCGTAAATTCCACGGCTAGCCACTATTGATCTTTGCATGTTATTTTTATGAATACTGTATTTGTTATATGAAAATTTGCCAGCGTATTAACTTCTTCTTATTGACAACTATTTTGTTTTTCACATAATATTGAAATGCATTTATAATTTACATACGTTTTTATGTGTAGGTCAAAGAGATGCACCGAGGTATTTCCAGTGAGTAGAATGTTTGGGTTCTATTTATTTAAATGATTTATTGAAATTTCTTCTGTAAATATTTGTTATTATACTCTAATATTTACCTATTTCATCAAATAGATGTCTTGATTAAAGCTTTTTCTTTTGTGATTCAAATTAGAGTCAGCTTGATGATAGAATACACGTATTCAGTATGTGATTGAGATCATGAACCGATTGATGTTAGAACACCACTGAAAACATGGAAGCTCTGGACGGCCGTTTCGTCCTACTGTGGGACTTCTCAGCAGTGTGCATCCATGATCTCGCTCCACGGGATTCGAATCCAGGATCTCCGATGTCGCGCGCGAACACATAAACTCTAGACCACTGAGCCTACATCCGATGGTGTTAACGTCTAACCTCAACCAATCCACCCACTTGCGAGGCTATTTTCTATTGTACTGAGGTAGATACCTGTTTCTACCTGACACTGATTAATCAGTAATCAGTATTAAATAAATAGATAGCCCAACATTTAAGTGTAGGATACATGGTTCATGGGTTAAATAATGCGATTCTAAATATATATAACTGACGTTTACGTATTAAGTCAAATGAACTTGTTTGTCATTTATATTTGATAGTAATTTAATAAAGCAATTTAAACACACACACACACACATTGAACTACAAATCTTCTCCACCATCTCAAAACACATATTGTGTACTACAGTGTTTAAGGGTAATTAAAATGATTGTATAATAAAAGCAAGCTCTCTTTTCTTAACAATCAGAGATTATATTTAACATATGACTGGTAGTAGAGCCCAGGACGAAACTTTCGGTCCTATTTTGAAACTCGTTAGCCGAATGTATTTGAATTTCAGTGTTCATTTATTAGCTTAGACTATTTAAACCATTGATTGTTAAATAGATCACAACGCTAGTAATGACTTCCACGATTAGCAAAATATCCACAAAAACCCCTTTCTGATATTAACCAGCATATGCTCACTAGTGACTGGCTTCAAGAGATATTTCCTGGAGTTCTAGTAAGAAGCCGTGACCAGTGGAGTTCAACCATGTCTGTTGTGAGATAGTAACTCACTGAAGACGATAGTGGACGTGTGGCTCAATTCTGTGGATTGTTTGAAGTAAGACATTAACACCGTTGGATGGTAGTCGGCTCAGTGGTCTATGGGTTAGGCGTTCTTGCGCTAGGCTGATAGGTCCTGGGTTCGAATCCCGTGGGGCGGGATCGTAGATGAGCACTGTTGAGGAGTACCACAGTAGGACGAAACAATCGTCCAGTGTTTCCAGATTTTTTGCATAGTTGTCTAGATTCAATTGACTCATGATCTCAACTATTAAATTACAGTACAGTTTGAATGACATTAGAAACTTCATGCAAAATCATTATGATTGTTTGCAGTATGATTTTTATAGTTTTTTTTAAATTATTCAATTTTTATTCAAAGTAACACCAACACTACTATTAAACAGTAAGTTAGAAATGTTAATAACTGGATGATTCCATTGAATTCTTTATTCCAAATAATCAGTATATTTTAGTTAGTTATAGTAACTTTTCTACAATCCATTTCGGTTACTGTTAAATGTTGGTTAAGCCCTTTTATTAACTTATTGAACAGACCATATTATTCGAACGGTAACCATTCGCGTATTTCTTTGTACTACTATGATCACTATCTTGTTTATAGAAACGTGTACTGTTGATCAAATGGGAGACTCTAGCTAAAATGTTGATCGCTTAAATATTACTCAATCAGTCATATTCATATTCCAATGTTTATATATGTACTCGAATTCTATTAATAACCCTTGTTTTGCCTTGCTATGCATTTATTCGATTTGACTATAAGTTTGCCTCTGTATTTGCTCGCATATACACACACACATTCACTTCTCTGCTTCAAATTCGCTTGATGTGCTTATAGCTTTGTGATTTGTGCTATTCGCTAATAGATTGTAGTCGCCGCTTCTTATTGTCGCTTTCTGAGTTCAAACACCGTCGGAATCTATGTAGTAACGATTACAAGGGTGATTGATGGATGAAGCGAAGCCACTACACATTGACTAATATATTTACAAGAATATATATCTATATTGAAGAATATGTATTTACATACATATTATAACTTCTGAAGTTGACATTACAATCAAGCTTTAATGACTATAAAAATATTTATGTTTCGATAAAATACAGATTGAAATGTGACCTTATTCAATTACTGAAGTAGTGACTGATTGATATCAATAAGTATGAAACTTCGATCAATGCAGTTCTATCATTCCATATTCAAACATCTTAAAAAGTTCTGAAAGAATTCTTAGTCACTTGGTTTAATGGTGACATTGAAAAATAGCATTCAGTTTGTAGTAATATGGTGGTGTACGCTACATATGTCAATAAATATAACTAGTATGTAACACTAGTTGGAATTGGAAAACCTGGCAGCAGCAGGCTAAGAAGATCGAGTTGAAGAGAATAGATTGGAACTGGGTGAATCATACAGAATATGAAGGACAAATGATGGAAATTTGCAAATAGAGTATTTAATGTATGGTTACCATATTTTACCAAGAGATTTTGTAATTCGATATCAAAATACATCGATTGTCTCCAGATGAGTTCTCGTTCACTACAGTATGATCATGATTGGATAACATAACATAATTCCATGTTAATTATTCACTTGTTCATTTTAATCCCACTTCTCAATGCGTATGGAAGAAGTCAGCGCAACAAAATAATTTGGACGTGATACCTCAATAGTATTTGTATCAATATGATTTCAGGAAAAGTAATAAATAAATTAAAGTTGTTATATTCACTTAATGGATTAGGTATAAAATCAATGTTACTTGATTATAATTGAATTAGCTAGGACCTAACAACTGATTATTAGAGTGCTAGGTAACACAAGAGAAAAACAATAATAAATATGTTTTTTTATATCCCAATCGGGAGTAAAATTATAATCCTGACGTTTCGTAACCTAATATAAGGTTCCTCTTCAGAGTAAATAAACAGCTCTAAAGAAGTGGCTTACATTAAGTTAAGAAACGTCAGAAATACAATTTTTCTACACATTAGGATATAACGCACAAAATATATTTATTATTAAAACTTTTCTATCCAATGCTCAATTTATTTGAAACTATAAAATCCAACATTGGGATTGATACTTATAAACAAGTGAAAACTGTTAATGATAACTAGTCGACATAAGTATATAAACTTGTCTTTCAAATGGGTAAAATCCACTAATGAGCGTTGATTCACAGAATCCTACATTTTTATATTCAATTATTTTCTAACCTCAACCAATCCACGAAATCGTGTGATGATCTTCCATTGTCTGAGGTCAATACTGTCTCTACTTAACACAGATTAGCTCTACTGGTCACGGCTTCTCACTAGAACTCCAAGAATTCTCTCACGAAGCTAGTCACTAGTGCGTACATGATGATTACTATCAGTAAATGGTTTTGGAGATTTTTAAGTTTTTGACTGACAAACAACCATCCAGTGCTTCCAGGTTACAATAGTGATCTAACATCAGTCGACTCTTGATCTCAATCATAAACTTAGCAATTTCCACAATCCTATACTGTCAAACTCTAATTCTTGATTTTAGCTTGCTTTAATTGCAATGGAATGATAATTATAGAAACGATTACATAGTAACATAAAGATTTATCTTTTAAAATATCAACCACTTGTATAGATACTAACTCAATTCGTTTGAGCATAAACGATACAATCTTAAAATCACCGTAACAATTATAAGTTTACTATTGAAGACATTTCACTGATTGAAATCATGATTCAATTGAAGCTAGACCACCATGGAAAACCTGGAAGCACTAGATGGCCGTTTCGTCCTGGTACGGGACTCCTCAGCAGTGCGCATCCACGATCCCGCACCCCGCGAGATTCGAAGTCAGGACCTATCACTCTCGCGCCAGGCGCTTAAACAACTAGAACACTGAGCCGACTGGCATCCAAAGGTGTTATTGTCTAACTTCAACTAATTCACGAAATTGAGCGACACATCCATCATTGTCATCGGTGAGTTACTATCTCACAACTGACATGGTTGAAGAAATATAAATCACATGTTAACCAGCCAGTGCGTTATATTTAAAAACAGTTTGAAAGTGGAAACTTGAGAACTTTACAGATCATATTAAAAATACATTGAACAAACAAGAAGAAAAATTACATTATCGACTAAATAAACATTGAAGGATAATATTGATCAATTAATGAGTTACAGATCATAACTAGATTATCAATAACCAATCAAACTGAAAAAAGAATTTGATCCATACTCTTATCATGAACACATTACATGAAATAATTCTCATTGATAATTTCAGCCCAACTACTCATGTCATGCAAAAGGAGTAAGTACTGCGCATTCACACGTTATTACTAAAATTACTATAAATTTAAAAGACTTCAGATGGTTATTTCTAAGTAGTAAACATTAATAATAAAAACAGTTATAAAACGATAAGAAATAAAGCCATTTAATAAAAAAAAAACTCAACTCACAGACGTATAAACATAAAATTCACAAGAAAAGGAATACAAAATAGACTACGAACCGTCAGTTAAAAGTTCCTTTCACAAACAACAATCTCATGTGCCTCATAGAAATTTCCGAATACACGTTCAACTGATCACATCTCGAATTCATCGGCCAGCACCATCCAATCTGTAGTGACATGTTGATTACAATCACACACATCACATTGTAACTCATTCTGAATATTAGTGATCATTACTATTGCTATTGTCACTGTCATTACTCTCATTATTCCACAAACTGTTCGATTAATGGAACATACTCATCAATTTTAATACACACTTCATTTAGGACTCACCACACCGCAACAACAGCAGCGGCAGCAGCAAAAACAACTGCAAGGTAAGTAAAATGCATTCACACGTATCAAATATGACAGTCTTCTATTTTCATTCACTACAATAAACAATATTTAGTAATCAGTGTATATTTGAATCAATAAGAATTATCATGTCACACATTAACAACGATGAATACGCTGAATCCACGAACTGTAAACGTTCAATTCACAACTACATGGAACAAGCACCAAGGTCCTCATGTCTGACAAACGAACACATTGAGGAATATTGTTGTTAGATTTTTACTGAACGAGTGTTGATTATCAGATACCTGGAAACTGACAGACAGACATACAGACAGACGAACAAAATTCGTCCACACAATTCTGTCATTCATCATCAACAATCTAACACAATTCACAATGATATTCATTCACTTGATTTATAAGTGGTCATATCGTCAATTCGTCAGACGACTTCGTCCAACACATGCTAATACTGTGAATGTATAACATGCAGACTATTATTTTCATGAACTATTACGCATTTTCGTTTAGGCATTACCATGTGACCTCAACTCCAAGGTAAGTACACAGTTCTACATGTAATAACATGATGGTGTATTGTTCCATTTCCACTCAAATAACCATCAATCAAACAGTGCAGTTACATCAACAATAATTGATATGTTGAGAAGAAGCTATTGGTGAAGCAGAACTAGCTGTTCGAATTTAAACTGTGTTCGATAAACTATAGGAATTTTCAATTCTCAACATCACACAAGTTAGATGTGATGTGTCAATGATGCATCAGTGAATGAGTGTCACTGAACAGACAGCTATCAACAATGAGCATAATTTTGATGGAGTTTTGTTCTCTGAGCTGGATAGTTTAGCTGTGGAGATTTCAATGTTCTTCTGAACGACGTCATCAGCACAAACTTCGAACACTTCACTTCCATTTGACGTTTGTGCTGATGATGTCGATCAGAGGAACGATGAGGGCTCCACGACCAAACCATCCAGCATAGAAAATAAAACTCCATCAAAATCATCCACCTGAGCTACAAATCTTCTCCGCCATCACAATCAGCACAATTTCATTCATGCATTCATCCAATTCGACTCCAACTAACTAACAAACTAACTAACTAAATAACTAACTAACTAACTAAATAGCTAACTAAATAACTAACTAACGAACTAACTAACTAACTTCATTCACACAGACAAACGTGTCATTTCGATTGATGATTAGGTTTTGTCACATCAATACCTCTTGATTCTCACTAAACTGGCTATGTTGCGACGTCATCAAACCAATTATTGAGTGGTGTGAATGTGAGAATTTTCTCAACTATCTCTCGTCACTAGCATGTACCTGTGTCTCAATCATCAATGTAATCAATCCAATATCGAGCACAGATTTCCTCAACATTATCACTCCGATTCAACCATCTAAAAAAATTCACGATCACCCTCAATCACACTTGATCTTGTGTAATAGTGTCACGTGTTGTTTGCACAGTATTCTCGACTGTGTTGTAGGTGACATCACGTGTTGGATGACGACGTCAACCAGTTGGATTTCAACTGGTTCTTCTTCTCCTTCTTTTTCGCCTTCTTTTTCTCCTTCTTCTCCTATTCACACTCTAATAGCAAATATTTCAGTTACCCAAATGAATGCTCCGATTGTATTACTGTATCTTTCCTGTTGTTAAGTGTATTGACGATGTGAGATCACAATTGTAGGGATAGATCTCCATCACCTACTTGATACAGATTTACATTTGATGAGTTGCAAGTGAATTTCACTGAGTTTTCTCATAATCCTACATGTGAATATCCCTGGACGAGAGAACATGACTAAGCAGCATTGAAATCCTAGAACAATTTGCTCTCAATATCCTCAATCAAGTCGATCAGTCCAAATACACAGACGAAATTCGAATCATCGACCACTCTTACAAAGACACTGATGTCCGAATTCAAATATGCAATAAGTAATTTCACTGAATCAACTTGGAACTTCATGCATAGTCTGAGATATGTTGAAGACGTTGTAATGATGAGAGGGTCCAAACAATCGACCAATTCTTCCATTCACAAACAACAATCTCATGTGCCTCATAGAAATTTCCGAATACACGTTCAACTGATCACATCTCGAATTCATCGGCCAGCACCATCCAATCTGTAGTGACATGTTGATTACAATCACACACATCACATTGTAACTCATTCTGAATATTAGTGATCATTACTATTGCTATTGTCACTGTCATTACTCTCATTATTCCACAAACTGTTCGATTAATGGAACATACTCATCAATTTTAATACACACTTCATTTAGGACTCACCACACCGCAACAACAGCAGCGGCAGCAGCAAAAACAACTGCAAGGTAAGTAAAATGCATTCACACGTATCAAATATGACAGTCTTCTATTTTCATTCACTACAATAAACAATATTTAGTAATCAGTGTATATTTGAATCAATAAGAATTATCATGTCACACATTAACAACGATGAATACGCTGAATCCACGAACTGTAAACGTTCAATTCACAACTACATGGAACAAGCACCAAGGTCCTCATGTCTGACAAACGAACACATTGAGGAATATTGTTGTTAGATTTTTACTGAACGAGTGTTGATTATCAGATACCTGGAAACTGACAGACAGACATACAGACAGACGAACAAAATTCGTCCACACAATTCTGTCATTCATCATCAACAATCTAACACAATTCACAATGATATTCATTCACTTGATTTATAAGTGGTCATATCGTCAATTCGTCAGACGACTTCGTCCAACACATGCTAATACTGTGAATGTATAACATGCAGACTATTATTTTCATGAACTATTACGCATTTTCGTTTAGGCATTACCATGTGACCTCAACTCCAAGGTAAGTACACAGTTCTACATGTAATAACATGATGGTGTATTGTTCCATTTCCACTCAAATAACCATCAATCAAACAGTGCAGTTACATCAACAATAATTGATATGTTGAGAAGAAGCTATTGGTGAAGCAGAACTAGCTGTTCGAATTTAAACTGTGTTCGATAAACTATAGGAATTTTCAATTCTCAACATCACACAAGTTAGATGTGATGTGTCAATGATGCATCAGTGAATGAGTGTCACTGAACAGACAGCTATCAACAATGAGCATAATTTTGATGGAGTTTTGTTCTCTGAGCTGGATAGTTTAGCTGTGGAGATTTCAATGTTCTTCTGAACGACGTCATCAGCACAAACTTCGAACACTTCACTTCCATTTGACGTTTGTGCTGATGATGTCGATCAGAGGAACGATGAGGGCTCCACGACCAAACCATCCAGCATAGAAAATAAAACTCCATCAAAATCATCCACCTGAGCTACAAATCTTCTCCGCCATCACAATCAGCACAATTTCATTCATGCATTCATCCAATTCGACTCCAACTAACTAACAAACTATCTAACTAAATAACTAACTAACTAACTAAATAGCTAACTAAATAACTAACTAACGAACTAACTAACTAACTTCATTCACACAGACAAACGTGTCATTTCGATTGATGATTAGGTTTTGTCACATCAATACCTCTTGATTCTCACTAAACTGGCTATGTTGCGACGTCATCAAACCAATTATTGAGTGGTGTGAATGTGAGAATTTTCTCAACTATCTCTCGTCACTAGCATGTACCTGTGTCTCAATCATCAATGTAATCAATCCAATATCGAGCACAGATTTCCTCAACATTATCACTCCGATTCAACCATCTAAAAAAATTCACGATCACCCTCAATCACACTTGATCTTGTGTAATAGTGTCACGTGTTGTTTGCACAGTATTCTCGACTGTGTTGTAGGTGACATCACGTGTTGGATGACGACGTCAACCAGTTGGATTTCAACTGGTTCTTCTTCTCCTTCTTTTTCGCCTTCTTTTTCTCCTTCTTCTCCTATTCACACTCTAATAGCAAATATTTCAGTTACCCCAATGAATGCTCCGATTGTATTACTGTATCTTTCCTGTTGTTAAGTGTATTGACGATGTGAGATCACAATTGTAGGGATAGATCTCCATCACCTACTTGATACAGATTTACATTTGATGAGTTGCAAGTGAATTTCACTGAGTTTTCTCATAATCCTACATGTGAATATCCCTGGACGAGAGAACATGACTAAGCAGCATTGAAATCCTAGAACAATTTGCTCTCAATATCCTCAATCAAGTCGATCAGTCCAAATACACAGACGAAATTCGAATCATCGACCACTCTTACAAAGACACTGATGTCCGAATTCAAATATGCAATAAGTAATTTCACTGAATCAACTTGGAACTTCATGCATAGTCTGAGATATGTTGAAGACGTTGTAATGATGAGAGGGTCCAAACAATCGACCAATTCTTCCATTCACAAACAACAATCTCATGTGCCTCATAGAAATTTCCGAATACACGTTCAACTGATCACATCTCGAATTCATCGGCCAGCACCATCCAATCTGTAGTGACATGTTGATTACAATCACACACATCACATTGTAACTCATTCTGAATATTAGTGATCATTACTATTGCTATTGTCACTGTCATTACTCTCATTATTCCACAAACTGTTCGATTAATGGAACATACTCATCAATTTTAATACACACTTCATTTAGGACTCACCACACCGCAACAACAGCAGCGGCAGCAGCAAAAACAACTGCAAGGTAAGTAAAATGCATTCACACGTATCAAATATGACAGTCTTCTATTTTCATTCACTACAATAAACAATATTTAGTAATCAGTGTATATTTGAATCAATAAGAATTATCATGTCACACATTAACAACGATGAATACGCTGAATCCACGAACTGTAAACGTTCAATTCACAACTACATGGAACAAGCACCAAGGTCCTCATGTCTGACAAACGAACACATTGAGGAATATTGTTGTTAGATTTTTACTGAACGAGTGTTGATTATCAGATACCTGGAAACTGACAGACAGACATACAGACAGACGAACAAAATTCGTCCACACAATTCTGTCATTCATCATCAACAATCTAACACAATTCACAATGATATTCATTCACTTGATTTATAAGTGGTCATATCGTCAATTCGTCAGACGACTTCGTCCAACACATGCTAATACTGTGAATGTATAACATGCAGACTATTATTTTCATGAACTATTACGCATTTTCGTTTAGGCATTACCATGTGACCTCAACTCCAAGGTAAGTACACAGTTCTACATGTAATAACATGATGGTGTATTGTTCCATTTCCACTCAAATAACCATCAATCAAACAGTGCAGTTACATCAACAATAATTGATATGTTGAGAAGAAGCTATTGATGAAGCAGAACTAGCTGTTCGAATTTAAACTGTGTTCGATAAACTATAGGAATTTTCAATTCTCAACATCACACAAGTTAGATGTGATGTGTCAATGATGCATCAGTGAATGAGTGTCACTGAACAGACAGCTATCAACAATGAGCATAATTTTGATGGAGTTTTGTTCTCTGAGCTGGATAGTTTATCTGTGGAGATTTCAATGTTCTTCTGAACGACGTCATCAGCACAAACTTCGAACACTTCACTTCCATTTGACGTTTGTGCTGATGATGTCGATCAGAGGAACGATGAGGGCTCCACGACCAAACCATCCAGCATAGAAAATAAAACTCCATCAAAATCATCCACCTGAGCTACAAATCTTCTCCGCCATCACAATCAGCACAATTTCATTCATGCATTCATCCAATTCGACTCCAACTAACTAACAAACTAACTAACTAAATAACTAACTAACTAACTAAATAGCTAACTAAATAACTAACTAACGAACTAACTAACTAACTTCATTCACACAGACAAACGTGTCATTTCGATTGATGATTAGGTTTTGTCACATCAATACCTCTTGATTCTCACTAAACTGGCTATGTTGCGACGTCATCAAACCAATTATTGAGTGGTGTGAATGTGAGAATTTTCTCAACTATCTCCCGTCACTAGCATGTACCTGTGTCTCAATCATCAATGTAATCAATCCAATATCGAGCACAGATTTCCTCAACATTATCACTCCGATTCAACCATCTAAAAAAATTCACGATCACCCTCAATCACACTTGATCTTGTGTAATAGTGTCACGTGTTGTTTGCACAGTATTCTCGACTGTGTTGTAGGTGACATCACGTGTTGGATGACGACGTCAACCAGTTGGATTTCAACTGGTTCTTCTTCTCCTTCTTTTTCGCCTTCTTTTTCTCCTTCTTCTCCTATTCACACTCTAATAGCAAATATTTCAGTTACCCCAATGAATGCTCCGATTGTATTACTGTATCTTTCCTGTTGTTAAGTGTATTGACGATGTGAGATCACAATTGTAGGGATAGATCTCCATCACCTACTTGATACAGATTTACATTTGATGAGTTGCAAGTGAATTTCACTGAGTTTTCTCATAATCCTACATGTGAATATCCCTGGACGAGAGAACATGACTAAGCAGCATTGAAATCCTAGAACAATTTGCTCTCAATATCCTCAATCAAGTCGATCAGTCCAAATACACAGACGAAATTCGAATCATCGACCACTCTTACAAAGACACTGATGTCCGAATTCAAATATGCAATAAGTAATTTCACTGAATCAACTTGGAACTTCATGCATAGTCTGAGATATGTTGAAGACGTTGTAATGATGAGAGGGTCCAAACAATCGACCAATTCTTCCATTCACAAACAACAATCTCATGTGCCTCATAGAAATTTCCGAATACACGTTCAACTGATCACATCTCGAATTCATCGGCCAGCACCATCCAATCTGTAGTGACATGTTGATTACAATCACACACATCACATTGTAACTCATTCTGAATATTAGTGATCATTACTATTGCTATTGTCACTGTCATTACTCTCATTATTCCACAAACTGTTCGATTAATGGAACATACTCATCAATTTTAATACACACTTCATTTAGGACTCACCACACCGCAACAACAGCAGCGGCAGCAGCAAAAACAACTGCAAGGTAAGTAAAATGCATTCACACGTATCAAATATGACAGTCTTCTATTTTCATTCACTACAATAAACAATATTTAGTAATCAGTGTATATTTGAATCAATAAGAATTATCATGTCACACATTAACAACGATGAATACGCTGAATCCACGAACTGTAAACGTTCAATTCACAACTACATGGAACAAGCACCAAGGTCCTCATGTCTGACAAACGAACACATTGAGGAATATTGTTGTTAGATTTTTACTGAACGAGTGTTGATTATCAGATACCTGGAAACTGACAGACAGACATACAGACAGACGAACAAAATTCGTCCACACAATTCTGTCATTCATCATCAACAATCTAACACAATTCACAATGATATTCATTCACTTGATTTATAAGTGGTCATATCGTCAATTCGTCAGACGACTTCGTCCAACACATGCTAATACTGTGAATGTATAACATGCAGACTATTATTTTCATGAACTATTACGCGTTTTCGTTTAGGCATTACCATGTGACCTCAACTCCAAGGTAAGTACACAGTTCTACATGTAATAACATGATGGTGTATTGTTCCATTTCCACTCAAATAACCATCAATCAAACAGTGCAGTTACATCAACAATAATTGATATGTTGAGAAGAAGCTATTGGTGAAGCAGAACTAGCTGTTCGAATTTAAACTGTGTTCGATAAACTATAGGAATTTTCAATTCTCAACATCACACAAGTTAGATGTGATGTGTCAATGATGCATCAGTGAATGAGTGTCACTGAACAGACAGCTATCAACAATGAGCATAATTTTGATGGAGTTTTGTTCTCTGAGCTGGATAGTTTATCTGTGGAGATTTCAATGTTCTTCTGAACGACGTCATCAGCACAAACTTCGAACACTTCACTTCCATTTGACGTTTGTGCTGATGATGTCGATCAGAGGAACGATGAGGGCTCCACGACCAAACCATCCAGCATAGAAAATAAAACTCCATCAAAATCATCCACCTGAGCTACAAATCTTCTCCGCCATCACAATCAGCACAATTTCATTCATGCATTCATCCAATTCGACTCCAACTAACTAACAAACTAACTAACTAAATAACTAACTAACTAACTAAATAGCTAACTAAATAACTAACTAACGAACCAACTAACTAACTTCATTCACACAGACAAACGTGTCATTTCGATTGATGATTAGGTTTTGTCACATCAATACCTCTTGATTCTCACTAAACTGGCTATGTTGCGACGTCATCAAACCAATTATTGAGTGGTGTGAATGTGAGAATTTTCTCAACTATCTCTCGTCACCAGCATGTACCTGTGTCTCAATCATCAATGTAATCAATCCAATATCGAGCACAGATTTCCTCAACATTATCACTCCGATTCAACCATCTAACATTATTCACCATCACGTTCAAGCACTCTGTTCTATATTATTTTTCACGTGAGGGTTTACCACATCTATGTCGCTCGATCTGTATTAACTTCGTCAATGCATAACTTGACACTGATTTTCAACATTTAATCGAGTATTTTAGAAATCATCTCAATTTCTAACTACTAAATAATATTCTAATATGTCGAATAGGTGATCGCAACCACATTTTGTGCTTTATTTTTGAAGGGACATCTGATCGTTCACTTTGAACATTGTATATTGAATATCTACTTGTTTAGTTTCCGTGTCACATGTCGAACTATCATTTTCCTGAATTTTAACACATTTCATTCAGATATTACACTACGCCGCGAACTGCACTGTAAGTAGTTCATATTTACCTTTATTTACTTACACAATTACAACCAGTGTCGACGTTTTGATAGACAGTAGAATGTCAACCGGTCAGTGTGATTTACTTGTTCATGTATTGTGAAAGAGATATTTGTCAACTGGACATACTCACACTTCAACTAAACATACATTGGAACGTACATGAGGACGGTCTCGTAGCATTTAAACACAAAAGTGGAAGCTGATGTGAAACATGCCAAATAATGCTTCTGAGATTTTTGCCATTCACATTACTACTACTAATACCATTACTACTACTACCACTACTACTAATACTACTACTGCCACTACTACTACTACTACTACCACTACAACTACTACCACTACTACTACTACCATTACCACTACTACTAATATTACTAGCACTACTACTACTACTACTACTACCACTACTACTATTACTACCACTACCACTTCTACTACCACTACTGCTACTACTACCACTACTACTACTACTACTACCACTACCACCACTACCACTACTACTACTACTAGCACTACCACTACTACTACTACTACCAATACTCTCACTAATAATACTACTACTGACATTAGATCACGACTGAGTTCAACATGTGCACGAATGATAACATTGTTGAATATGTAACACAACAGTACTAGTGGTAGTGTATACATCCAAGTTGCAGTAAGAACGAGTAAGTAGTGATATGGATGGTATTAGGTATTGTATTGCATCATTCACTTCAAACCATCCTACACAATTCAGATTGAATTTCCAACCAAATCATCCATCGGTCACATCACAACCATATCGATTGATAACACTGTTTTAATTGTGGTGAATTCACCATAGGATAGCATGAAATATTTCACGTTAATTGTTTACTCGCTCATTTCAGACACACTGCTCATCCCACACGAAAAACGTAAGCATTTCTAAATAACTTGTATGTGATATATCGGTAGAATCATTACTGATGTATTTCAAATAATCGTGTTGTAAATAACTTGTGATAGTTGTATCTGTTTATTTCACTCAATGTAACATCGCAGCTGATTGATTCCATTGTCCTCTCAATTCCACATATATAATGCGTGTGTGTTTGTATGTTATGATTACTAGTGATTTTTCATAGAATAACATGAGTTCATTTCAGTCTGTTCGGTTATCGTCACCTGGTTACAATCCATAAAGTGTTAATATAAATATGTCACAAAAATCAGCACATACTTATTCCAGTGAAATTGGTGAAATATGAATACAGTTGAGTATGTGTTGGAGCATTGTTTGTGATCAAGTGAATGTAGTTGAGAAATATCACACTGCTCGGAAATGAATTCACCGTGTGACAGAATATCCCAGTACATGGAATGTGGTAACGAAATACTATATAGCTAAACGATTGATTGACCATCCAGTGAATTGGATGAAGACCAGTTAATGGTGATTGCGATTAACATGAGTTGCGACTAGTCAGTTTGTAAAGAGTTCATGAATCTCGGTGAAATGAAGGCAGAGGAATACAAATAAATGAAGTAGTCGTGTAAATGACGTAGCAACTTGACGGTAATATCATCGTGGTAAGACAAGAAACATTCAACACATTTTCTTCTTGAATACACAAATTTTGTTTGACAAGTTTGTTTGTCACATCTTCAGAAGATGTAAGAGTAGAGTTCGATTGTTGGTTTATCACCTTTAAACATCTAGTCATGTCAACTCGATGTCCAACTGATGTCAGGTTGGTGTTTTGAAAGTTCACTACTGAAGATCAATAGTCCGTGTAGACTAAGACTATGTAGAACTTGTATTGCAAACTAGTTGTTATCCACTACTTCTATTCTACCAATTTAGCCAGCTCCACTGATAGATGCATACACGTCTACACACTCAGTTGGCAATAATATGAATGTGGTAATCACAGATCTCGGATTGTAGTCGAAACACGTTGTTTTGTGTGAGATAATCAGTTTGGCTGTAGCACAGACACGTCTCGATCGGTGCCGTTTCCGATTTTCGGTTTATTGTTGATGCAATGTTGTCACCGTTAAAACCAGGTCGAATGAGAGTAGGAACTCTGTCGACTGTATTTTGTTTGTCGTTTTAGTCATAACAGTTTCAGCATTTCTCAGTGAAACTTCGTGAACATTCGTTCTTCCTTAGAAATGATCTCACTCTCATTAGTTGAGCTTCCTATGTGAGTATCTGTAGCTCTCTGATCTGTGATATGGAGTTTTTGTAAGTCCCATGTAGTAACTATTTGGAAGAACAATGTTGAAGTGTAGATCAACTGCACTCCTTGTGTCTATTCAATAAACTGAACATCGAATGTGCCACACTGTTTACTGAATTACGATAAACATACACTGCAAATGATCTTCTACACGTTGTATGAGTCCTTCGAGCTCTGATACTGGTAGAAGTGGGAGGTCAGAATTCACAGAAAACATATCTGTGGTTTGAAGAAGATGTATTTTTGTGAGCAGGGATGTTATGTCAAGAGAAACAATCGATTCATCAGAAATGATTATTTGATTCGTTCTGTGAACAAACTGAAAACAGCTTGTTAATATACAGGATTACCTAATGGATGACAAACCGGTTACAATCACTCCGATAGACTGTGAGTGAAATCGTTTTCATGTGAATCGGAGACGTATATGAATACCTATTTGACCTGACTTTTGTGAAATGGTGAAAACTGAGGTTCTGTAATAGTGTCACGCGTTGTTTGCACAATATTCTCGACTGTGTTGTAGATGACATCATGTGTTGGATGACGACGTCAACCAGTTGGATTTTTAGTAGCCCGTTTGACCTGACCTCTGTTTAGATCGTACGAATGTTTGCTATCACCTATTCTCGTATATTTCCGTCGACTTAATCGCGTTAGCCAATAACGGAATTAAATAAGTCGAATAACGAGAATTGATTTGTGAATACATATATTTTGTATATGAAGTGAATGAAACAGAGCCAAGCAAAATGACGCACGGGGAGGATGGCTGGGAAGCCAACTCCCATTTTAATTAAGCGTTACTCAATATTTATAGGCAGACAAAATAAACTACAGACATGGGATGAATCATGGGACATGAAGTGTACACACATATACGCTCATATAAAAAACAATCTAGATTGATAAGCGAATAAATAACAAGGTCAAAGTATGGCTCGAGTAGAATGGATAAAATGGGATGTCCGAAAGTTAGAATAAGGTATATCGGCTTAACATAGTAACTGACAATATAGATTTCAACTGGTTCTTCTTCTCCTTCTTTTTCGCCTTCTTTTTCTCCTTCTTCTCCTATTCACACTCTAATAGCAAATATTTCAGTTACCCAAATGAATGCTCCGATTGTATTACTGTATCTTTCCTGTTGTTAAGTGTATTGACGATGTGAGATCACAATTGTAGGGATAGATCTCCATCACCTACTTGATACAGATTTACATTTGATGAGTTGCAAGTGAATTTCACTGAGTTTTCTCATAATCCTACATGTGAATATCCCTGGACGAGAGAACATGACTAAGCAGCATTGAAATCCTAGAACAATTTGCTCTCAATATCCTCAATCAAGTCGATCAGTCCAAATACACAGACGAAATTCGAATCATCGACCACTTTTACAAAGACACTGATGTCCGAATTCAAATATGCAATAAGTAATTTCACTGAATCAACTTGGAACTTCATGCATAGTCTGAGATATGTTGAAGACGTTGTAATGATGAGAGGGTCCAAACAATCGACCAATTCTTCCATTCACAAACAACAATCTCATGTGCCTCATAGAAATTTCCGAATACACGTTCAACTGATCACATCTCGAATTCATCGGCCAGCACCATCCAATCTGTAGTGACATGTTGATTACAATCACACACATCACATTGTAACTCATTCTGAATATTAGTGATCATTACTATTGCTATTGTCACTGTCATTACTCTCATTATTCCACAAACTGTTCGATTAATGGAACATACTCATCAATTTTAATACACACTTCATTTAGGACTCACCACACCGCACCAACAGCAGCGGCAGCAGCAAAAACAACTGCAAGGTAAGTAAAATGCATTCACACGTATCAAATATGACAGTCTTCTATTTTCATTCACTACAATAAACAATATTTAGTAATCAGTGTATATTTGAATCAATAAGAATTATCATGTCACACATTAACAACGATGAATACGCTGAATCCACGAACTGTAAACGTTCAATTCACAACTACATGGAACAAGCACCAAGGTCCTCATGTCTGACAAACGAACACATTGAGGGATATTGTTGTTAGATTTTTACTGAACGAGTGTTGATTATCAGATACCTGGAAACTGACAGACAGACATACAGACAGACGAACAAAATTCGTCCACACAATTCTGTCATTCATCATCAACAATCTAACACAATTCACAATGATATTCATTCACTTGATTTATAAGTGGTCATATCGTCAATTCGTCAGACGACTTCGTCCAACACATGCTAATACTGTGAATGTATAACATGCAGACTATTATTTTCATGAACTATTACGCGTTTTCGTTTAGGCATTACCATGTGACCTCAACTCCAAGGTAAGTACACAGTTCTACATGTAATAACATGATGGTGTATTGTTCCATTTCCACTCAAATAACCATCAATCAAACAGTGCAGTTACATCAACAGTAATTGATATGTTGAGAAGAAGCTATTGGTGAAGCAGAACTAGCTGTTCGAATTTAAACTGTGTTCGATAAACTATAGGAATTTTCAATTCTCAACATCACACAAGTTAGATGTGATGTGTCAATGATGCATCAGTGAATGAGTGTCACTGAACAGACAGCTATCAACAATGAGCATAATTTTGATGGAGTTTTGTTCTCTGAGCTGGATAGTTTATCTGTGGAGATTTCAATGTTCTTCTGAACGACGTCATCAGCACAAACTTCGAACACTTCACTTCCATTTGACGTTTGTGCTGATGATGTCGATCAGAGGAACGATGAGGGCTCCACGACCAAACCATCCAGCATAGAAAATAAAACTCCATCAAAATCATCCACCTGAGCTACAAATCTTCTCCGCCATCACAATCAGCACAATTTCATTCATGCATTCATCCAATTCGACTCCAACTAACTAACAAACTAACTAACTAAATAAATAAATAAATAACTAAATAACTAACTAAATAACTAACCAACGAACTAACTAACTAACTAACTTCATTCACACAGACAAACGTGTCATTTCGATTGATGATTAGGGTTTGTCACATCAATACCTCTCGATTCTCACTAAACTGGCTATGTTGCGACGTCATCAAACCAATTATTGAGTGGTGTGAATGTGAGAATTTTCTCAACTATCTCCCGTCACTAGCATGTACCTGTGTCTCAATCATCAATGTAATCAATCCAATATCGAGCACAGATTTCCTCAACATTATCACTCCGATTCAACCATCTAAAAAAATTCACGATCACCCTCAATCACACTTGATCTTGTGTAATAGTGTCACGTGTTGTTTGCACAATATTCTCGACTGTGTTGTAGGTGACATCACGTGTTGGATGACGACGTCAACCAGTTGGATTTCAACTGGTTCTTCTTCTCCTTCTTTTTCGCCTTCTTTTTCTCCTTCTTCTCCTATTCACACTCTAATAGCAAATATTTCAGTTACCCAAATGAATGCTCCGATTGTATTACTGTATCTTTCCTGTTGTTAAGTGTATTGACGATGTGAGATCACAATTGTAGGGATAGATCTCCATCACCTACTTGATACAGATTTACATTTGATGAGTTGCAAGTGAATTTCACTGAGTTTTCTCATAATCCTACATGTGAATATCCCTGGACGAGAGAACATGACTAAGCAGCATTGAAATCCTAGAACAATTTGCTCTCAATATCCTCAATCAAGTCGATCAGTCCAAATACACAGACGAAATTCGAATCATCGACCACTTTTACAAAGACACTGATGTCCGAATTCAAATATGCAATAAGTAATTTCACTGAATCAACTTGGAACTTCATGCATAGTCTGAGATATGTTGAAGACGTTGTAATGATGAGAGGGTCCAAACAATCGACCAATTCTTCCATTCACAAACAACAATCTCATGTGCCTCATAGAAATTTCCGAATACACGTTCAACTGATCACATCTCGAATTCATCGGCCAGCACCATCCAATCTGTAGTGACATGTTGATTACAATCACACACATCACATTGTAACTCATTCTGAATATTAGTGATCATTACTATTGCTATTGTCACTGTCATTACTCTCATTATTCCACAAACTGTTCGATTAATGGAACATACTCATCAATTTTAATACACACTTCATTTAGGACTCACCACACCGCAACAACAGCAGCGGCAGCAGCAAAAACAACTGCAAGGTAAGTAAAATGCATTCACACGTATCAAATATGACAGTCTTCTATTTTCATTCACTACAATAAACAATATTTAGTAATCAGTGTATATTTGAATCAATAAGAATTATCATGTCACACATTAACAACGATGAATACGCTGAATCCACGAACTGTAAACGTTCAATTCACAACTACATGGAACAAGCACCAAGGTCCTCATGTCTGACAAACGAACACATTGAGGAATATTGTTGTTAGATTTTTACTGAACGAGTGTTGATTATCAGATACCTGGAAACTGACAGACAGACATACAGACAGACGAACAAAATTCGTCCACACAATTCTGTCATTCATCATCAACAATCTAACACAATTCACAATGATATTCATTCACTTGATTTATAAGTGGTCATATCGTCAATTCGTCAGACGACTTCGTCCAACACATGCTAATACTGTGAATGTATAACATGCAGACTATTATTTTCATGAACTATTACGCATTTTCGTTTAGGCATTACCATGTGACCTCAACTCCAAGGTAAGTACACAGTTCTACATGTAATAACATGATGGTGTATTGTTCCATTTCCACTCAAATAACCATCAATCAAACAGTGCAGTTACATCAACAATAATTGATATGTTGAGAAGAAGCTATTGGTGAAGCAGAACTAGCTGTTCGAATTTAAACTGTGTTCGATAAACTATAGGAATTTTCAATTCTCAACATCACACAAGTTAGATGTGATGTGTCAATGATGCATCAGTGAATGAGTGTCACTGAACAGACAGCTATCAACAATGAGCATAATTTTGATGGAGTTTTGTTCTCTGAGCTGGATAGTTTAGCTGTGGAGATTTCAATGTTCTTCTGAACGACGTCATCAGCACAAACTTCGAACACTTCACTTCCATTTGACGTTTGTGCTGATGATGTCGATCAGAGGAACGATGAGGGCTCCACGACCAAACCATCCAGCATAGAAAATAAAACTCCATCAAAATCATCCACCTGAGCTACAAATCTTCTCCGCCATCACAATCAGCACAATTTCATTCATGCATTCATCCAATTCGACTCCAACTAACTAACAAACTAACTAACTAAATAAATAAATAAATAACTAAATAACTAACTAAATAACTAACCAACGAACTAACTAACTAACTAACTTCATTCACACAGACAAACGTGTCATTTCGATTGATGATTAGGGTTTGTCACATCAATACCTCTCGATTCTCACTAAACTGGCTATGTTGCGACGTCATCAAACCAATTATTGAGTGGTGTGAATGTGAGAATTTTCTCAACTATCTCCCGTCACTAGCATGTACCTGTGTCTCAATCATCAATGTAATCAATCCAATATCGAGCACAGATTTCCTCAACATTATCACTCCGATTCAACCATCTAAAAAAATTCACGATCACCCTCAATCACACTTGATCTTGTGTAATAGTGTCACGTGTTGTTTGCACAATATTCTCGACTGTGTTGTAGGTGACATCACGTGTTGGATGACGACGTCAACCAGTTGGATTTCAACTGGTTCTTCTTCTCCTTCTTTTTCGCCTTCTTTTTCTCCTTCTTCTCCTATTCACACTCTAATAGCAAATATTTCAGTTACCCAAATGAATGCTCCGATTGTATTACTGTATCTTTCCTGTTGTTAAGTGTATTGACGATGTGAGATCACAATTGTAGGGATAGATCTCCATCACCTACTTGATACAGATTTACATTTGATGAGTTGCAAGTGAATTTCACTGAGTTTTCTCATAATCCTACATGTGAATATCCCTGGACGAGAGAACATGACTAAGCAGCATTGAAATCCTAGAACAATTTGCTCTCAATATCCTCAATCAAGTCGATCAGTCCAAATACACAGACGAAATTCGAATCATCGACCACTTTTACAAAGACACTGATGTCCGAATTCAAATATGCAATAAGTAATTTCACTGAATCAACTTGGAACTTCATGCATAGTCTGAGATATGTTGAAGACGTTGTAATGATGAGAGGGTCCAAACAATCGACCAATTCTTCCATTCACAAACAACAATCTCATGTGCCTCATAGAAATTTCCGAATACACGTTCAACTGATCACATCTCGAATTCATCGGCCAGCACCATCCAATCTGTAGTGACATGTTGATTACAATCACACACATCACATTGTAACTCATTCTGAATATTAGTGATCATTACTATTGCTATTGTCACTGTCATTACTCTCATTATTCCACAAACTGTTCGATTAATGGAACATACTCATCAATTTTAATACACACTTCATTTAGGACTCACCACACCGCACCAACAGCAGCGGCAGCAGCAAAAACAACTGCAAGGTAAGTAAAATGCATTCACACGTATCAAATATGACAGTCTTCTATTTTCATTCACTACAATAAACAATATTTAGTAATCAGTGTATATTTGAATCAATAAGAATTATCATGTCACACATTAACAACGATGAATACGCTGAATCCACGAACTGTAAACGTTCAATTCACAACTACATGGAACAAGCACCAAGGTCCTCATGTCTGACAAACGAACACATTGAGGGATATTGTTGTTAGATTTTTACTGAACGAGTGTTGATTATCAGATACCTGGAAACTGACAGACAGACATACAGACAGACGAACAAAATTCGTCCACACAATTCTGTCATTCATCATCAACAATCTAACACAATTCACAATGATATTCATTCACTTGATTTATAAGTGGTCATATCGTCAATTCGTCAGACGACTTCGTCCAACACATGCTAATACTGTGAATGTATAACATGCAGACTATTATTTTCATGAACTATTACGCGTTTTCGTTTAGGCATTACCATGTGACCTCAACTCCAAGGTAAGTACACAGTTCTACATGTAATAACATGATGGTGTATTGTTCCATTTCCACTCAAATAACCATCAATCAAACAGTGCAGTTACATCAACAGTAATTGATATGTTGAGAAGAAGCTATTGGTGAAGCAGAACTAGCTGTTCGAATTTAAACTGTGTTCGATAAACTATAGGAATTTTCAATTCTCAACATCACACAAGTTAGATGTGATGTGTCAATGATGCATCAGTGAATGAGTGTCACTGAACAGACAGCTATCAACAATGAGCATAATTTTGATGGAGTTTTGTTCTCTGAGCTGGATAGTTTAGCTGTGGAGATTTCAATGTTCTTCTGAACGACGTCATCAGCACAAACTTCGAACACTTCACTTCCATTTGACGTTTGTGCTGATGATGTCGATCAGAGGAACGATGAGGGCTCCACGACCAAACCATCCAGCATAGAAAATAAAACTCCATCAAAATCATCCACCTGAGCTACAAATCTTCTCCGCCATCACAATCAGCACAATTTCATTCATGCATTCATCCAATTCGACTCCAACTAACTAACAAACTAACTAACTAAATAAATAAATAAATAAATAACTAAATAACTAACTAAATAACTAACCAACGAACTAACTAACTAACTAACTTCATTCACACAGACAAACGTGTCATTTCGATTGATGATTAGGGTTTGTCACATCAATACCTCTCGATTCTCACTAAACTGGCTATGTTGCGACGTCATCAAACCAATTATTGAGTGGTGTGAATGTGAGAATTTTCTCAACTATCTCCCGTCACTAGCATGTACCTGTGTCTCAATCATCAATGTAATCAATCCAATATCGAGCACAGATTTCCTCAACATTATCACTCCGATTCAACCATCTAAAAAAATTCACGATCACCCTCAATCACACTTGATCTTGTGTAATAGTGTCACGTGTTGTTTGCACAATATTCTCGACTGTGTTGTAGGTGACATCACGTGTTGGATGACGACGTCAACCAGTTGGATTTCAACTGGTTCTTCTTCTCCTTCTTTTTCGCCTTCTTTTTCTCCTTCTTCTCCTATTCACACTCTAATAGCAAATATTTCAGTTACCCAAATGAATGCTCCGATTGTATTACTGTATCTTTCCTGTTGTTAAGTGTATTGACGATGTGAGATCACAATTGTAGGGATAGATCTCCATCACCTACTTGATACAGATTTACATTTGATGAGTTGCAAGTGAATTTCACTGAGTTTTCTCATAATCCTACATATGAATATCCCTGGACGAGAGAACATGACTAAGCAGCATTGAAATCCTAGAACAATTTGCTCTCAATATCCTCAATCAAGTCGATCAGTCCAAATACACAGACGAAATTCGAATCATCGACCACTTTTACAAAGACACTGATGTCCGAATTCAAATATGCAATAAGTAATTTCACTGAATCAACTTGGAACTTCATGCATAGTCTGAGATATGTTGAAGACGTTGTAATGATGAGAGGGTCCAAACAATCGACCAATTCTTCCATTCACAAACAACAATCTCATGTGCCTCATAGAAATTTCCGAATACACGTTCAACTGATCACATCTCGAATTCATCGGCCAGCACCATCCAATCTGTAGTGACATGTTGATTACAATCACACACATCACATTGTAACTCATTCTGAATATTAGTGATCATTACTATTGCTATTGTCACTGTCATTACTCTCATTATTCCACAAACTGTTCGATTAATGGAACATACTCATCAATTTTAATACACACTTCATTTAGGACTCACCACACCGCACCAACAGCAGCGGCAGCAGCAAAAACAACTGCAAGGTAAGTAAAATGCATTCACACGTATCAAATATGACAGTCTTCTATTTTCATTCACTACAATAAACAATATTTAGTAATCAGTGTATATTTGAATCAATAAGAATTATCATGTCACACATTAACAACGATGAATACGCTGAATCCACGAACTGTAAACGTTCAATTCACAACTACATGGAACAAGCACCAAGGTCCTCATGTCTGACAAACGAACACATTGAGGGATATTGTTGTTAGATTTTTACTGAACGAGTGTTGATTATCAGATACCTGGAAACTGACAGACAGACATACAGACAGACGAACAAAATTCGTCCACACAATTCTGTCATTCATCATCAACAATCTAACACAATTCACAATGATATTCATTCACTTGATTTATAAGTGGTCATATCGTCAATTCGTCAGACGACTTCGTCCAACACATGCTAATACTGTGAATGTATAACATGCAGACTATTATTTTCATGAACTATTACGCATTTTCGTTTAGGCATTACCATGTGACCTCAACTCCAAGGTAAGTACACAGTTCTACATGTAATAACATGATGGTGTATTGTTCCATTTCCACTCAAATAACCATCAATCAAACAGTGCAGTTACATCAACAGTAATTGATATGTTGAGAAGAAGCTATTGGTGAAGCAGAACTAGCTGTTCGAATTTAAACTGTGTTCGATAAACTATAGGAATTTTCAATTCTCAACATCACACAAGTTAGATGTGATGTGTCAATGATGCATCAGTGAATGAGTGTCACTGAACAGACAGCTATCAACAATGAGCATAATTTTATTCCCGCATCCTTTCAATACGTTTCCAATGAACATGTAAACTTGATTCACACAGACAGTCGTATGATATCGTTTTACTTTCATGCTCACACATCTCGTTTGACTATTGCGACACTTTATTTTCTTCCTTTCACTCAGTATATGTCTATTTGTTTTAAATTTTCATGTAGCTGACTTTCTGCTTTTGATAGGATAATTTGATTTTATAGTTGTTTATTTTTCACCACCATTCAGTTGAGTTCTTTTGCGATTCAAGGGAGTTTTACGTGTATTCCGAAGTTCATTCTGTTGACGTTTTGAATAAACGGACTGATCTTCTTGTCTCGTCGACTGAACCCAAAATGATGGGTCATATTTTTCTCTTAAGACAACTAGGACCCATTATGAAAGACTGATAACCAATCACTATTTAACTTTAATCCATGCAACTCTTAGATTCCCCTTCGTCACTTCTTTTTGCACACTTCATGAGGTGCTTTGTCACATTAATACATAATGATAACATCGATAGGATTTAGTTAACAGTCTTTATATTGATAGTGAATAACACGACATACTTCTCCATGATTGTTATGGTTATTATCACATTTGTTTTAGTCACACTACTAAAGCCATACAAAAGAAGTAAGTGTTATTAATAAATGAAGTGTAAATAGTATACATGCACTTAGTTGATTGTCTATACAACACATGACACAATTGTATGTAGAAAATCAAATTTTTTCAAGTTCCTCTGAACTAGTTCAGTTGTAATATCTGCAAATTCACTGTTAGGTGATGGAGATGAGAATTTCTATCAAGATATCAGTCAAGTTCAGTTCGTAAACATACTCCATCATCAACTATGCTGGTGGAGTTTAGTTCTCTGAGTTGGATGGTTGAGTTGTAAAACTTTCATTATTTTTTTTTCGAAAAAAACATCAGAACAAATTTATGGTAAACTTAGATCATTTAAATTTAGAAATTCCATCAAAATCATTCACTTGAGCTACAAATCTTCTCCATCACTTCATCATTATGAATAGATTCATGCAAACGCATCAGTCAACTTCAATTATCCAAAGTAGTTTATAAAGATATTGAAACACCATTTGTAGCGATCGCGTCTTAGTTCTTACAATCAATATTACTTGGTAATTGTTACTGTTATGATGTGAACTCATATACTACTTGTTTTCTTTTATTGGAGGGAGCTAGTACAGATTGACTTTCATATTGTTATAGCTAGATGTTAGATACTTGATATACCGCGTACAACTCGAGCACTCAGGTGCTCGATCCCTTCAAGTCACAAATGAAAATACAGAAGACAAGTGAAAGGAATGCTATTCCAAACAGTGTCAAATATGGTACAAAATCCTCAGTTATTTATAGTTTCTAGTTAAAACGAAATCATCATTACGGTCATCCAATCTGCATACAGAGGGTTTTAGCATTTGTCCAAAAGGGAAGCTACACATTAAGATTCTGGAATATTCTTCCGAAAGATGATTGGTTGGAATATCTTCGGCACTTTATGAGGTTCTTAAAGATTCCTCGAGTTCATTCATGGGCCGTTCTCATACATATATTTATGAGTATCTTTAACAAGTTCATTTTTATCGTTGGTATTTCTTGATGATAGATCCCATTTGGTTTACTATTCAAAATCAGCAATCACTTGTGATAATTAGAAGCATTTAAATTATAGTATGAACTAAGAATCCCAGAAATACCGTAATCGGATCAAGAAGTACTAGATAATCACAAACGAATGTATTGTATTTAGAATTCGAAATCAAGCATTCAACAAGTACAAAGGAATCACTAGTTCATTTAAACACCACATCACTCTATGAATATTTCATCTTAGTATGGGGTCTTTTCAGAGTACCTCATGTCATCTAAGGTTAACTCATGGCAAATACCATCTGTAAATTAAACGAATACCTACTCGCGTATATACACATGTATAATTCAGTATCTGAAATATGAATCTATTTCTTTCTTTTAGATGTTTAAAGAAAATGAAACCAAACGAGTAAGTAGAATTAAATGATTGATAAATAATGTAATAAAGATTCTTTTCATTCATTCTATTAGAGGAAATCAACAAGGGAAAACAACATGCCGTCCAGTGCTTCCAGGTTTTCCATGGTGGTCTAGCTTCAATTGACTCATGGTTTCAATCTGTGTAATTTGAAAAAAGCCTAAAACGTTTTACGTTATAAGTATAGATGTAATCTGTATCAATCTTTGGTTTACGCAATCGTAGTATTCACCTTGAATTATGTAAAATTACTGAAGGGGATATTCCATCACTCAATATGATGACAATCTATAATAACTTTTATTTTTATTGTTAGACGATTGGATTTAATTCTACTCATTTCTGAACCTTCGTATGAATGTATAGATATCTTCAGTCATTTGTATCGATTGTTTGAATCTTCAAAATGATGTTTAAGACTATCATTTATCAGTTTCTTTTTGGTATATGTTCATCTTATGCGGATTGCCTCGATATTGTCATTCTGTCAGGAGTATTAAAAACAGAAATAAGTGGTGGCTAGCAGTAGAATTTACGAAGCGAGTTTTGTACTGTTTCGAATTCGTCAGCTAGATGTACATGCATTAAACTATTTAAGCTTAGACACCAATAAATAACTTTGGTTTTGTTATATTCCATCAGATTAAATAGATTTCTCCACAGCATCAACTTTGAAAAACAGCAGCTTTTTTACATTCAGTTAGAAAAGCTTCCTGTTTGATGAGATTATACAGTGACTCAGATGAGAACTTTTGTCCCGAATAATTGTTAAAACCAACGCGGAGCTTATATCCATGGCATATAACCGATAGTCAACAATCTCTTAATATCAGTTGAAGTGAACCGAAATATGAAGTCATTCAGTCTAATGGACACATCTCAAATCCGTCGGTGGTGATTGAGTGACCTTCATATTGTTAATTAATAACGCCACATTATTTATTTATTAGTGGTCAAACAGCGTAGAAACAATTTCAAATGATTATTGTTTAATTATCATATTGTGGGAGAGGATAAACCAGCTTCCAGTTGAAGAGGAAATTAGGAAAAGATGTTGGAAGTGAATAGGATATACATTGAAGAAATCATTAAACTGCATCACGAGGCAAATGCTAACTTGGACTCCTGAAGAGTAGCGGAGAAGAGGAAGGCAGAAGAACACACTACTTTGGGAAATAGAAGCAAACATGACAAAGATAAATAGCAACTGGAAAACATTGTCCAGAACAGGGTTGGATGGAGAATGATGGTGGACAGCCTATGCTCCTCTATGAGGGGTAACAGGCGTAAGTAATCGTATGAAAAATTCATTTTAGTAAAATATTCAAACTTTTATTACATTTCAGTTTGATGAACTTAATATTTGGCTTGATTCCTCGAATGTAAGTCAAATGATTTCCTTTGTGTAAAATATATATTTACTTCATATATTTTTGTGACTTCAACTGATTCCATTGAAAAAAGAACTCAATTGCACTAAATAGCGATGCTTTTCAAAAATAGAGAATGTAAAACACTCCAAAACTGACATCTTTAGGAAACGTAAACGTTAAGATGGATAGTGTCTAGCAGTGGGATCCATGACTCACGTTTTGTCCTACTTGGGACTCGTTAGCTGGATGTACCTGCATCTCAGAGCGGATGTTCACTCTGGGACAATGAGAAGATATAAGCGAACAATACCAAGTGAATGTAAACGTTAGTTTTAATGTTAGGGTTTGAATTTCCCCATTAACTGTAATTAATCAGTCTCTTCTGTTAAATATGCACATACTAGATGAAATGCATTGATATTGACTTTAATTATAGGTCTTTAGTATAGTTGTACTGTATCTACGACTGAAATCCAGGACATGCGTTGAATTCTGTTCCAGAATGGTTAGCTGGTACCTAATCATGTCAATGTTAATATTTACAACCAAATTTGAATATTTTACCCGTTGCTTTAAACAACAATCCTTTATTCATTAAGTTACTGAATGTTGATCGCTATGTAATTGTTCAGTGGGATATAAATTCACATATAATAGTCTTAAATGAAAAACAGAAACAACTAGATTTCTCAATATAAGGCTGTGAAGATTGTTAGATTTTTGATTTAGATCACGAATCGACTGATGTTGCTGAGGATTCCCATGCTAGGTCGAAACGGCCGTCCAGTACTTCCAGGTTTTCAATGGTGGTCTAACATCAATCGATTCATGATCTCAATCAAAAACTAGATTTCTATTAAAATTTCATTTTTGATGAACAGGTTGTTGAAAATCCCTTTCTTACAGTTAATTCTTTATTGACAACTTCGGATGCCACTTCGACATAAGCGGCAAATCTATACTGTACAGTAAACCTTGTTACCTAAGGAGTGACCTTTAAATTAACCAATGAAAAATAGTTATTCATAGTATAGCTTTTGCAAAGGAGCTATATAATGTGGAAGAGTAATAAAACTACAATAGATTAAAAGTTTTTACACAACTGTGACTACCTTTCAATCACTTATGCTGTAAATCATAATATGGTAACTTGAATCAACCCCAAGTCTTAATACTAATTATGTCAAAAGCTGGTTACTATCCGTAAGCCCGTAAACTCTAACTCCTAACCGTAAAAGTTTATTTCACAAAAACGTCAGTAACCAATCGTTCTCAAATGAGAAATATGATCCAAATCATGATTTCTAAAGACAAGTCATCTTCAGGAACATCTTAAAAGTGCGTTAATACATAACATTGGTTAGCTTGATCGATTAAAGCAATAAGTATAGCATAGTTCTACTGAAAAGCCAATGAAGTTATAGTGAAACAATAGTTTTGACATGATTAATTAGCTTTTAATTGTTGAATTATTCTTAATAGGAAAGGTAAAAAGATTAGATTTACACATAAGAGTAGTCGGGCTGGTATTGTCAGTTATGACTGTAACCTTATTGTGTTTTCGTCACTACAAATTTACTATGATGCTAAATAGTAAGAATGAGCATATTTTCCCTATTTTTTGAATGATCATAAACCTCCCATATATGGAATAGGAAATTGAAATACCCCCGCCTTCCAGCCAAATAAGTTGGTGAAGCCGAGTAGGCCCCTCCGGAGAGAAAAATGCTACATCGAAGCACGGCACAACTAGCGGAGCTAGAATAGCTGTTTTGCAACCAGTCGAAATTCGCCCCGTAAGAAGCTACCCCGTACATTACATGCACCACTTTTGTCAGTTTTTTTGTGGTTTTTCGATCGAAGAGTAATTGTGCTGTTTCTTTGTGTAGTTCGTAGTCGGTTTGAGGGTAACGGTCGAGTGGGTTGATTAGCCCGATCTCTACTACCCGGGTTACCACTCACGTTAGTTCTTCGGTCATCCGTCCCACTATCCAGGAGGCATGACGCAGACGTGTGAGCCGGATTCTGCCTTCCAAAATTGAAATGACAGAAATGTAAGGTAACTGATAGTCTCGTTATTAAATACAATATTTATGAGATGTGATGTATGTTTATGTATTTACTTTAGAAAAACAATTGAATTCGCAGAAAACGAGTACGTGATTTAAAAATAAATATACAATTTACGCATAATACAATTGTTATTATTCTTTGATATTATGAACCAATCAAGGTTAGACAATTATTGAAAAATTGAAGGCATCTTTCTGATAATCTAGAATCAACAACAATCGGAATCACGAAGGATTGAATAGTTATTTCTCAGTAGTGTGAGACTCCTCTTTAGTATGCATCTGCAACTCAAACCAATGATCTTAAGTTCAGTACTTCCTGAATGTCATCAGTTCTCAGACTAAGAGATCAGTACTTGACATAAACTATAGAAATTCATCAATCTCCATAAAGCGTATATACTCATAGTAATCCTGTGCTCGTTAGTGATTAACTTTAAAATGTAGTTCCAGTGAAAGATCATGATCAATGCAATTCAAACAAGTCGAGTATGAGATAGTCACCCACTACAGACAATGAACATTCATAGCGTAATATTATAAAATCATCATTTTTTTAAAAAAAAAACTATATCCAATCATCATCTACCGTCAGATATCAAAAGTAATAAGTGATTTCTTTTTCCTTTTAGAAATCTTCAAAAGCTTGCAGAACTTTTTGAGGAATTATTCAAACATTAAATGAATGTAAAACACTCTTTTTTAACGAAAATACCAGTTAAAGCGAAATTTTATTAACACACTATCAATTCATCGTTCAATAATTTGTTTTTGATAATGCTAATAAATACATAATGATAATAATAATTCACTTGGTATTGTTTGGCTTGTATCTTCCATTGATCAGTCTGTTATCGGCATATGTGCATACTGTGCGTGTGTCTCGATATTGCCTTAATTCACAAGCTTTTTGTAAGCAATGATTGATAGTGGCTAGCAGTGGAATCCAGGACGCGCTTTTCGTCATATTTGGGGCTCGTCAGTTGGATGTACCTGCGTCTCACAGAGTTGATGTTCACTCTGTGACACGAACCCAGTACCATTCGCTTCAAACGCCACTATCCACCATTGCTTACGAAAAGATAATAATTATGTTTCATAATACCTAAACTCTTGTTCTGCTTTATAACCAGTTGATTAACAATAAACATGCCTCAATTATCTGCATAGAAATAACCAATTAGCATCGTTTCGGCTAAAAAACAAAGTGAATAAGGCTTTTACAATCTATACCACCGACTGTATTTAGATAGACCATTTATGAAAAACCCCACTAAGCAAAACAGCTTCTTAGTTTTAGCGTGTAGTTTTTCATCTGTAACCTTTCACTGTTTTATTTTTAACCGTTGATACAAGTGAGAGGAACTTAAGTGAACAGTTTTTTTTAAAAACTTAATTTATCACTGAAAAACTGGTCTGTTTTTATTTATCACTTTGTTACACGTTAATAGCGAGACTATCAAGAAGAAATTGCTCTTTATGATAAACATTTAAAATGTGATTCCAGTTCATTTGTATAATTAATAGAGATTGGCTGAAACTAAACATTAACACCGTTAGATACCGGCCGGAGCAGTGGTCTAGAGGTTAAGCGTTCGTGCGCGAGATCGATAGGTCCTCGGTTCGAATCTCGTGGGGGGGGCGGGATCGTGGATGCGCACTGCTGAATAGTTTCATACTAGGATAAAACGGCCGTTCAGTGCTCCATATTTTCCATGGTGGTCTAGCATCAACTGATTCATAGATTTAATCATTAAATTAATAAAGATAACTTTATCGACTAATCAGTATGATTTGGTATATAAATCAATAAATAGCACTGCGATGCGTCATTATTTGTAATACTGAATGATACATGTTCAAGTCTAACTAAGCAGTGTTTCATTACCAGAATTTACGACAGTTGTCTTACATAATAAGCCTAAGTGAAATAAGGTAACCGATACTCACGAATGTCGTACAGTTGTTTCTCTTAAAACCAGTCAGATTGACCACTTAATAGTTTTGCACGACCAGTATATATTGTCTTTCTTGAGTTTCTCAGTATTGGAAATGGCTTATATTGTATCTTTCTGACGTTCTGTAATAGTTTCAGAATAGGACGACATTTAATAGTGAATTTTTTGACATCAGTCAGTAACTGGTTCACACTCAACATAGTTGATATCTAATGATAACGGTTTCTCACTAGAACATCTAGAATTACCTCTCAAAATCAGCACATGATCATTATCAGCGATGGAAACTATATAATTCAATAATCTTCACAAACGTTTTGCACTCACAACTGATTCCTTGTCCATTTATCTTAATTTATATTTTAACTCATGTACCATCATCAACATCTATCTGGTCACAAAACGTAACACCAATAACAATTACAGTGAAAGACTATGAAACTATCGTTGTAATGAAGATAAGAGATTCATGAATGAATGCTCTATAAGGTATAATTTAAATTAAATACAAACAAGACAGATTTTTATAGTCAAACTAACTGTCCTAGAATTTTGGAATATTACCATTTTTCGTTAAACAGTAAAAGCAGAGCAGAAATCTGGAAGCATTAGACGGCCGTTCCGTCCTGATGTAGGACTACTCAGCAGCGTACATTAACAACCCCTAACACTGGAATCGTGGGGAACAAATTATTTCATTTGACCATTTCTATATGCGTTTATTAATTTACCGGTTCATGTGAAGCCAGATATATAAACCGTTCAACATTTATTTTACCTACAAGTATTCGAGAACATTACATCACTTCGCTGAAATTGCTTAATAAGAAGTCCAATAATCGAAAAACTTGTAAGCACAAGTCATTCGATCAAAGGGGAATCTATATTTAATGTCATCTACAAGGTGTGTAGAAAGCTGCCAAAGGTAGTTATATTCTGTTTTCTTACTATTGCTGAAGCACTAGATCTACATCTGGAAAAACCAGAATTATGTATCCAAAGGAAACTGATACAACCTCTGCCTCTACCATGGTCTTAATCTCTTGTAATTTTCTCCTTTCTATCTTCTCTATAGACCTTTTGCACCCAACTGATTTGTTTTTGTTTCTATGATCTTCCTGATTACAGTTTATCTGAATTTCGACATTATATCTTATCACGCCGGGCCTTCCCTTATCAAGTATAAGTTCCTTATTTATCATCATAATGTAACGGTATCCGCGCCTCTGCAAATTACTTCCAGCCATGCCACAAAAGGTCTCTAACCACTGGTTAAAATAATCACGTGGAATTCCTATGGTACTACTTCATTACTCTATCATCTTGCCCAAAAAGATAGAATTTGTATGTTACTTTTGATGGATTAAAACATCTAATATCCAAGGAATCTAACGATATAGTAACACAGAAAACCATAGTTTCCCCCATTAGTATGTCGTCTACAATAATGAGAGTATCTTATGGATTGACTAGTTTCAAGACAGATACAATTTGAATATTCTACAATGAATGCGGTCAACTGTCACTTTCTGTTTCAACATAAATATTATAGAACATCAGTGATTGGGGTTGAGTTTTCGGACATGAACCAATACACTATGTTTAAGATCAAGAAGAAAACGATCTGACTTCAATATAAGTCTTATTTACGCACAATCTACGAGAGTTCAAATTAGACTGTTATGTTTGAAATCTAGACTAAATCGTTCATTACACATAACTTTGCCCGTCAAAATGCAGTTAACTAGTTTTTTTCATGCTTCATATCCTAGTCTATTCAGACCTTAAATCAACACGAAGTAAGGCTTCAGTAACGATCAGGTCAATAAGACACATCAATGAGTATATTAAGTCTGAAGTTTCATATTACATACAGATTTTGATGGGACAACCATTTTATCATACTGTGAAACTGCTAAACAGTTTATTCACAACTCCAACGAGGATAGAATGCAGAATCTTCAGATCATTGAGTTATGGTCCAACGATTTATATTTCTAACTTCAATCAACTCATAATATTTTATGAGCATAATTCATTGAAATTAGTGATATGTTGTCTTACATACAACACAGTTAAACTCCACTGTTAACAATTCCTCATAAGAGCTTCAAGAATTATTTCTCTATGTTCGTCATCAGTAAGCACAAGATGATTGTTATTAGATGGTGACAGCAATGTAAACAAAAAATAGTAACCTGCATTATCACCGTTATATTTCACATGAAAAAATGATAACCAGAACATCAACCATACTGACGAAAATAGTAAAACAACAAAACAGATATATGTTTATTAGATTCTGTTAAGAATATTGTGGGGACGAAGCTTCTTCTTTCATGAAATCCTTGTGAACCAATCACAAAACATAAAGTATTACCAATCTATGAAGATTTACATTTTAATATTCTTTTCATTATTTCTTGAATAATCTCATCACGATTTGATAGATCAATCTAAAAGTAAGAAAAAAAAATGCTTCTTTTCTTTTTGGTAGTGGAAATGTGTTCCATTGATACAAAATCAATAATATAACATTAGAAGAAAAGAAATTTAATGATATTGTATCTTGACAAATACAAGTTAAATAGGTGAGACTATAATTTATGGATAACCTTTGAGAGACGCTGAAGCGACCTTGAAAGTAGACACCTACTGATTAAGTTTTTGATTGAGATCATGAACCGACTGATGTTAGACTAAATGAGGGTTATAAAGCAGTTAGAATTCTCATTTACGGTTGATGGTTAAGGTTAGGAATTAGATTTAAGGTTTTCATCATGAACTGATATCAGATATAATGCCAAAATTCAGGACCCGTTATCTTATATCTGATTGGTTGAATCATAAATTATAGTCTCTCCATTACATATATACAATTTGTAGTGTCGGTTACTATATTAAGCCTATATATAAATTATTCTAGCTTCTTGGACAGGCTAATTTATTCATTCTTCTCTAGTCATGTTTTAACCTTATTTATTATTCACTTATCAACCTTGACTGTTTATTGTATGAGCGTATATATGTGTGTGTACACTTCATGTTCTATTCATCATGTATGCAGCTTATTTTTATGTGACTATAAATATCGATTAACGCTTGCTTAAATGGAGTTGGCTTAAACGCCTTCTTCGCTGAATGTCGTTTCGTTTCGTTTCACTCTCTTTTCTTCACTTCATTCCTCTGAATGTCAGTCCAGATTAGTGAGTGTACAAAATATACGTTTTCAAATATCCATTCTCGTGTTTGACTGACTTATTTAATTCCGTTATTCACTAACCCGGATTAAGTTGATAATTATTAATGAGGATAGACGATGTATACATTATTATTTACAAACATTTATATGATATAACTGGTGTCAAATTCCGGGCCTGATATAGAGTCTGATGCAGACGCTTCCTCTATATGCGTGCTCAATCAGCTACTTGAGTGAAAAAATCAATAGTTTATATCTGCTTCAACAGAAAGTTAAACTAAATCATCGCCAATAGTATGTGCCTGACGGCATTCTTTTATTTGCTATTTGGTCTATTTCATAGATCCAGAGCACGAAAAACCCACATCATCTATTCACTTATTTGTTAAGTAACATCTAATCATTTCCTTGAAAGAAAAATCTAATCTACTGGTTAGCTTTCCAATCTCTTGATATCCGTCCATTGGAATCTCTTCGTCAATAGTTCCGTCTTATACTTACTTACTTACTTACGCCTGTTACTCCTCGTGAAGGAGCATAGGCCACTCACCAGCATTCTCCATCCAACCCTGTCCTGGGCAATCCTTTCTAGCTCCGTCCAGTTGTAATTCATCCTTTTCATATCTGCTTCTATAATCCGACGCAATGTGTTCTTTGGCCTTCCTCTTTTTCGCCTCCCTTCAGGGTTCCAAGTTAGGGCTTGCCTCGTGATGCAGTTTGACGGTTTGCGTAATGTATGTCCTATCCATTTCCATCGTCTTTTCCTAATTTCTTCTTCAGCTGGAAGTTGCTTTGTTCTCTCCCACAGAAGGCTATTGCTGATGGTATCCGGCCAGTGGATGTTGAGTATCTTGCGTAGGCAGCTATTTATAAATACTTGTACTTTCTTGATGGTGGTTGTTGTAGTTCTCCAAGTTTCAGCTCCATACAGTAGAACTGCCTTGACGTTCGTATTGAAGATTCTCACTTTGATATTGGTTGAAAGTTGTTTTGAGTTCCATATGTTCTTCAATTGTAGGAATGCGACCCTTGCTTTGCCGATCCTCGCCTTTACGTCTGCATCTGAACCTCCTTGTTCATCGATGATGCTTCCTAGGTATGTGAAGGACTCTACATCTTCCAGAGTTTCGCCATCAAGAGTGATTGGATTGCTGTTCTGCGTGTTGAATTTGAGGACCTTGGTTTTCCCTTTGTGTATGCTGAGGCCTACTGATGCAGAGACTGCTGCTACACTGGCTGTCTTCATCTGCATCTGTTCGTGTGTACGTGATAGGAGGGCTAGGTCGTCTGCGAAGTCCAAATCGTCTAATTGATTCTGAGTTGTCCATTGTATTCCGTGTTTTCCTTCAGATGTCGAGGTCTTCATAATCCAGTCGACCACCAGAAGAAAGAGGAAGGGAGAGAGTAAACAGCCTTGTCTGACTCCAGTCCTTACTTGGAATGCATCTGTCAGCTGTCCTCCATGCACTACTTTGCACTGTAGTCCGTCGTATGAGTTCCGGATAATGTTGACAATCTTCTCAGGAACTCCGTAGTGTCGAAGAAGTTTCCATAATGTCCTCCTATCTACACTGTCGAATGCCTTTTCATAATCAATGAAGTTGATGTATAGTGATGAGTTCCACTCCACTGATTGTTCGACGATGATCCGTAGTGTTGCAATTTGGTCTGTGCACGACCGATCCTTACGGAATCCAGCTTGTTGATCTCGAAGTTGGGCGTCTACTGCATCCTTCATCCGGTTCAGCAACACTCTGTTGAAGACTTTCCCTGGTATTGACAGTAGTGTAATGCCTCTGTAGTTTTCACATTTGCTCAGATCTCCTTTCTTTGGAATCTTGACGAGGTGTCCTTCTTTCCAGTCCATCGGCACTTGTTCCTCCTCCCAAATCTTTTTGAATAGAAGGTACAGCATGCTTGTGGTTGCTTCGATGTCTGATTTCAGTGCTTCAGCTGGTATGTTGTCGGGTCCTGCTGCTTTCCCGTTCTTGATTTGTCTGACGGCCATTCTAATTTCTTCCGTCGTTGGTGGGTTGACATCTATAGGAAGATCTATGTGTGCTGCTTCGATGTCCGGTGGATTCATTGGAGCCGGCCTATTCAGGAGTTCCTCGAAGTATTCCACCCATCTGTTACGCTGATGTTGAATTTCGGTGATTGGCTTGCCTTCTTTGTCTTTGACCGGCCTCTCTGGTTTACTGTATTTCCCTGCTAGTTTCTTCGTTGTATCGTAAAGCTGTTTCATATTTCCTTCTCTAGCAGCTTTTTCTGCCGTCGTTGCTAGTTCTTCCACGTATTTCTTCTTGTCGGCTCTAATGCACCTCTTCACTTGTTTGTTTGCTTCTATGTATTCAGCTTGTGCTTGAACTTTCTCTGCTCGTGTTCGGCTGTTGTTAATTGCTGCCTTCTTGTTCTTCCTTTCTTTGATCTTGTCCAGTGTTTCTATAGAGATCCATTCCTTATGATGGTGTTTCTTTAGGCCCAGAACCTCTTGACACGTTGAAGTTAATGCTTCCTTGATGCCTTTCCAGTTGTCCTCCATACTAGTTTCTTCTTCTTTCAGTAGATCTTGTAAGGCTTGGAACCTGTTGTTGAGAGCTATCTTGAATTCATTGAGTTTGTCAGTATCTCGAAGGAAGGCTGTATTGAACCTTTGTAGTGCTGTTTGTCCACTTGTCCAGTTCTTTTTTAGCTTCAGTTTTAAATTGGCTACAACTAGGTGGTGATCTGAAGCTACGTCAGCACCTCTCCTGGTTCTTACATCTTCCATTGTCCTTCGGAATTTTTTGTTGATGCAAATATGATCTATTTGGTTCTCTGTAGTGTGGTCCGGTGAGATCCATGTAGCCTTGTGTATACGCTTGTGTGGAAATATTGTGCCTCCTATGACCAATTTGTTGAATGCACATAGATTTGCAAATCTTTCTCCATTTTCGTTTCTTTCTCCCAGTCCATGTCGTCCCATGATATCTTCATATCCGGTGTTGTCTATTCCGACTTTGGCATTTAGATCTCCCATCAGAATAGTTAGGTCCTTTCTTGGCATTTCTCAATGATTGACTGTAGCCGCTCGTAGAACTGATCTTTAATGTCGTCGTTGCTATCATTGGTGGGTGCATAACATTGGATAATATTCATTAAGATCCCCTCCTTCTTTGTTTTGAATGATGCTTTGATGATTCTGGATCCGTGAGACTCCCATCCTACAAGTGCATTTCGTGCTACTTTGGACAGCATAAGAGCGACTCCCTGAGTGTGTGGAGCATTGTCCTCCTCGTGACCGGAGTATAGCAGCATCTCTCCCGTAGCTAGCCTTTTCTGTCCAGCTTGGGTCCAGTGGGTTTCGCTGATTCCCAGTACTGCTAAGTTGTATCTCCTCATTTCCATTGCTATTTGACTGGTCTTCCCGGTTTCCCACATTGTTCGAACGTTCCATGTACCTATAAAAATTTTTGCTCTGGTTGTTAGAAGGGGCATCGGCCTCGTGGCTTCCGAAGGAACTCGGCTTTCACCATGAAGCGTCATAATTCTTCTAACTGAAGACCTTCTAACTCCCAGGGCAGAGTTTAAATGGTTTGAATAATTTTTTCTGGTAAGCGTTTTTTTAGCGAGTTAGTTTTCTACGGGATGGGGACGCTAACCCCATGCCCAACCCTCCTCCTTTACCCGGGCTTGGGACCGGCAGTAACCCTATTAGAGCTACAGGCGGAGTTTTCCGTCTTATAGTCAGTTATTAATTAGCCACACATTGTATCGTTAGGGATCATTTATTGATTACATAAATAACTCAAATCGTTTGTCAGACTACAAGACTAATCGAAATAAAAGATCATATAAAACTCGATTCAATTCAATTTAATTAACTAAGAATTGATGCAAATGTATGACCTTAGTACTTTGTTATTCGTTTTTTCTTCTTTTGAACAGGACAAAATACGACAAACCGGGTTGAATAGAAGAAATCAAGATCAGAAGTACGTGTAACTGGACTAGTAGTGCAATTTTCTTTCTTATTTTTTTGGTGATTAAACTCGATTGGTGACGATTTTTTGATTAACAATTTGTCATTAAAGTTTTTAAATGGTAGGAAAAAGAAACCGATCAATGTTAGAATAACATTGAAAACCTGAAAGCATTGGATAGCCGCTTCATCCTAGCATAGGACTCCTCAGCAGTCCACGACTCCGCATGCAGGAATGGAACACAGGACCTTCGGTTTCATGCGCGAACGCTTGGCTTCTTGACCACTGAGCCGGCGCATTCAGCAGTGTTAATATCTAACTTCAATCAATCTATAATCTTGCCCAAACCTTCATCGATCGCCTGAGGTAGACGACTCCCACACCCGACACGGATAGGACTCCACTGGTCATGACTTCTCATCAGCTCTGGGAATTACCTCTCGAAGTTGGTCACTGGAGAGCACATGATAATTATAAGTATAAGGTGACTAGTGGAAATGAACCGTATCGAGTGTGGAAGGCGGTCGTGCAATATTGTGGATTGGTTAAAATCGGACATTGACGTAGTTGGATCCCGGCGGTCTAGAAGTTAAGCATTAGTGCGCGAGACCAAAGGTTCTGGGTTCGAGTCCCGCGTGCGGAGTCGTAGATGCGCGCTGCTAAGTAGTCCCATACTAGGACGAAACGACCATTCAGTGCTTCCAGATCCCCAGTGGTAGTCTAACATTGATCGGTTCATAATCTCCATGAAATCTCAACAATCTCTACAACCCTATGCTGACAAAACTGATTCTTTTCTAAAACTAATGAAATTTACCACACAGGTGAATTACAGTGTAGAAATTTACGAGTAGAGTTCGATAAAAAAACTATAACACAATTCTACCATCTATAAATCTGTCGGCACAGCAAGTGTGATAAGTATATATAAACCGTGAAAATAATATCATGGAGTATAGGTCAAATACCTAGTAAATTATTTATGGACTTCAATCATGGTGTAATTAACAAAGTCTTGGGTAAGGTAAATCAATTTATTGTATTATGCAAAATCACATAATCCATCTTTAAAATATGAAAACAATACAGTGAATACAACAATTGCACAACTTCCTTAAATTGTCGCTTCCAAACTCCATCGTACTTCCATTTCTGTTGCTAATCCGACCGCTTTTGATTTTCTTTCTCATCTCCTCGTTTCCCTCTTCTATCAGTAAGAATCCTATTTCCAATTACCGATACATAGTACTAATATCTGCCGGTATAAGTAGGATATACCACAATGGTTATCAAGAAAAAAATATCAATTTAAGCTGTTTTTACTTCCTAGTTGCAACTATACAATCAAAAGTTCCATGTCAAATGCATTGAAACCATAAATATATACGTATATCATTTAAACAGTATTTCTAACTTACCTCTATTATCGAAGCCTCCTTCATTGAACAGATATGATCGACCAACGGAATACCACGTGTACCATCTTGTCTTTTCGGTGATGGTACAGTAGCCAAAAGAACAACTGTAGGATGTTTTATATCACGTTGACCATTTGTAGGTAAATTCGAAATTGATGAAATCAACTTTTCAATTAGATAAGTGAACTTTGATGAGCATAGCTCCATTTTACCAATTTCGTCAATGATACAGACTACTAAATCATTTTTTCTTACATTGTTAATGGAAGAAACGTTTTCCAAATCGTTTATAATAGACTGTTGATTATTATCATTTCCAATGAGGAAGATAGACCAAAAGAAAAGAGGAAACTTTGAGTCTTTTTCACTAGATAAAATACTAATTATCTATTTATACTACATAATTTAAAATCACTTTGTTACAATGACCATCATGAATTACCTCAATGAAATTAGCTGACCTGTAAACAAGGAATAGCTAAACTCTCAAACGATGATATATTTACTAGGTACTGACCAACACGAGGTTGATGTTGTACTTGTTGACTTGAATGGTTAATTAGGCGAGCTAATGAAGCTCTAGGATATGTTCGAGATGCATCGAATAGAACTACATCAAATCCAAAACGAGTAGACTTTCCTGAATAGAACTGTCGAACTTCTTCTGTCTTAAAACCAACTGCCTGTATACCATTTTTAAGAAGCTCTTCAAAAACATGAGAAACCAAAGTGGTTTTACCGATACCTGTCAAAAGATACAAATTTACTTACAACCAAATACCTGTAAATAGAATAGGAAAATAAACATTCACATAACGCTGAATGAAAGTAACATGTCACGATATAGAAAAAGCACCACAATATTTGAGTAATGTTCGGTACCCAATACAACTAAAGCATCAATAAATGACAGTTATCGATAATAATAATAAGTAGGAACTATTTACAATTATCAACAGTAAAAGATGACATGGAGTTTCTGTGAGAAAAGATATCTCAAATATATAGAAAAATTTAGCTCGAAAAATATCATTATTTTACGAAGACACAAAAGAACATAACAGTATTTGATAATTTGTATTATTCCAAACTAACCCATTCCTTGGTCACTGGTAAGAGTGTGGAGTGATTATTTATTTCCTTGTGTATTCTAGTTTCTCTACATTCAATGTGTGAATTAACTTAAGTTTGAGGTTAAGAGTATGTATCGGTGAATAATGCTACGATTGTTGGCAGGTGATAAGTGTGACGGTGTTCTAACATTTGGTGGAGGGTGAAGATATGATCAATACATCCTCGACCAGAACGAAGACCAGCCTGCTCCTCGCAAGTCAATCTTTCTCGGGTTTTGAACAACCTACGAAGTATGACGGAAGCCAATAGCTTGGACGCAATCGGAAGTAGACTTATCCCCCGATAGTTGTTACAGGAACGACGTGAACCCTTTTTAAAGATAGGGACAACTATCGACTCATTCCATGATGTTGGTACACTCTCTAACTCCCAGACCTTTGTAAACAACGCCGTCAGTTCCTTAGTCAGAAAGTCACCACCAACTTTAAAAAGAGCCGGAGGTAAGTCATCTGGGTCAGGTGATTTGTAGCGTTTCAAGAGTTGGAGTTCCTTGCGGGCTTCCGCCTCATTTGGTGGATCAGTCGCCACCGGCCATGGAGGGCAGGACAGTCTGACCGATGTTGCCCGAGCAGCAGGCCAGTTGAACTGCCTTTCGAAAAATTCTGCCCATCGTCCAAGACGTCGATGGATGTTAGTGATTGGCATCCCGTCATCCTCGCAGATTGTTTCACTCACACCAGACTTCTTGCCGCCAGTGGCTTGGATGAGTTGGAAGAGCTTCCGGTAATTACCAGATGCCGCTGCTGCTTCCAGCTCATTAGCACGCTTCGACCACCAGGCTTCTCGGTCCTTAAGCAAGCTTTGCCCAATTTCATTACGTAGCATCCTTCGTTTGTGGTCAAACTCACGGTCACCCGGAGTAGACCGACGGGCTTCAATGAGTTGTAAGGACCTTGAAGTAATCCAGTGCTTATAAGCGGGACGTTTCGCGAAGCTGCAAGCGGCTTTACTCACCATTGTCATGGCGTCATGCAATTGCAACCAGTGCTCATCTATACTTTTTGGTGGAATAGTAGCTAGCCTAGAAACTAGCTCGGTTCGATACTTACTAGCAACAGAAGTTGCAACCAGCTTGCTACCATCAATCCGTTGGTGGCGGTCACTTCGTCGTACACTGAAAAGTAAGGTAAGATTGGCGCAGACCAGAGCATGATCAGAGTCCAGATAGGTACTCCAAAAGGAGCGGCAGTCTTGCACACAACCACGCCAGCGGTAGCCGATCGCGATATGATCAATCTGAGTCCAGGCTTGAGATGCAGAGGGAGGATACCAGGTGGCACGTCGACAATGACTGTGAAGAAAATTAGTGCTAGCCAGAAACAGGTTGTGGTCTGTGCAGTTGCAGTAGACGATCCCCATTATCTGTCCTGCGACCAACAAGTCCCTATCGGCCACCTAAACGATTCTCTTCTGTGCCCATACGCCCGATCTGAGCATTCAAGTCTCCGGCTAGTACTACGATATCTGTCGAACGCACTTTCTGGAGAACAGTTACGTGGTGGAAGAATCCATGTTTGATTGCATCCGGGCTGCAATTTGTCGGGGCATAGGCGATGACAAAAAGGCATCGTTTCTCACGACGACTACTACCAATCACAGAAGAAAATGATTGAAGCATCAGTACATCAACCTGTGCCCCCAAATGCCCTAGTACGGCCGAGAGTGGGGAGAGTCCGCTCTCCCTCTCGAAATGCTCTCACATGGCCACGCGTATATCGCCTCTGTCAGGGAAGTCCTATTCATTGCCTTCTCGTGGCGGGGGTGTTGTTTACGAAAATGAGAGGACGAAAAGCGAATGTCCGGTGCTTTAACCGGATTACAAACCAATGGTGCACATGGGCTCCAGTATCCTGCGGGAACAAATGGCGTATGAACCAATCATTGGTCACTGGCTACCATGGGACTGCATCTCCTCACGATGCTCCACTGCCTTGTGGATCAGACCTTCAGGTCAAAGGCTCGGGGTGTGGCCCCCTAAGAAAACCACCTGCTTCGGTTTGGGCACCCGTGCAGTATCACAGCCCTCACACACACCGAATGAGATTTGTGTGGCGCATATATATTTGGTGCCTCTTTGTACCAATATATATATGTGTTGAAATAAATAAATAAATAAATAACATCAACCTGTATTTAGAAGCCGCGTTTTCAAAATAAACTGTACTTCTCACCCATAAGTTTTAAGTAAAAAAAGGAACCTTCACGTATCTAAAACAAACACTGATCATTTATTATATGTGTCTATATTAATTAGATAAATATGTTGTATAAAGACATAATTTCAAATACATGAAGCCCATTAAAGCAATTGACACACACCTGGCCTCCCTGTAACTAGCAAAATATTAGACGTTGACATAGTGTGAGGGGTACCTGTTGAAGTTGAATAAATTCAAGCCTTCACACACTGGAAATGATTGTTTCTGGTTTAACTTGCACGTAACAGGTATCTCGTAAACTGAAAAATAAGAAGGCCATTACAGTAACCACAAAAATGTATAATATAACTCCAATAGTGTATAAACAAATAGATAAATTCCGAACCGAGTAAAAATAATCGACGTTATAAAAATCCCACACAGATCAAGGTCTTATAAAAACCGTATAAGAAAATAAGAAAATCTAAGGCTATATTGATACACTATATAAAAATGAACAGATTCAGTTAATTCTATCCTAAGAAGACATGTACTACTTCATGTGTGAGCTTATCCTGATAGCCTAAACTAATCATATTTGAAGCTGATAAAAAGCTTGAACAAAATGACACTAACAGATTTCGCCAGAACATAAAGAGGAAATAAAACAGTTTAAGCCCACTTTTTTCATCAAGTTACTTTTTCCTCTTTTTTGAGCAACAGGGGAGTTGTCACGTAACTAGCATTTTTACACTAAAGTCATAAAACAGTGACAACTTTTAGGGAATTAATTTGTTCATAAAATTTTTCTACAACCATAAAATGAATTTAACATAGTGCGTAAGCCAAATCGCAAGATGTATGTGCTCGTGGTGCAGATTGTACGACATCGTAAAAGCCAGTAACAACTGTCAATACTACTGCCTGGTTTTCGTGTTTCTCTTATAGAGAAAGAGTGGAAGTATTAACAGGTGGTAAGATTGTGTAGCCTTTTTATTGTGTTTTCTATGGTATCAACAGAGATACTCCTTGATTATTGGTATTTTAAACGGTCATTTATCTGTTCGGTTTCGAGCCCCAGAACGGACTCTTCTAGCTACGGCAGATACCGAAAGTTATAATAACTCTAGTTTAGATGGTAGAGCACATAACGTTGTTTTGTATTGACTTTGGGGTTTTGTTGTCTTTGCCGCTAGCGACGCAACGCTAGAACGTGTCGGAACATATTTTACATAATTGGTAGATTTTATGTAAGGGGTATGACTATGTGTCAAGCCCAAAATCTTATCAGACATTCCGGTCAGGTTCGTCAAGTCTAAAAGCTGGTTAGAAACCTAAAAGATTTGCCTTGCAGTTGTTGGCAAGCATTGCATCCATATTTTTTTTTTAAAGTCATCGATTTTGCAAAATCCAACTAGTTACTTCATCTGTCGCAATAACTTGACCCGTTCCCCAGCTCTCACTGGTCCAGTGGATGTAGTTGTTCCCCATCTGATAAAGGTTTGTTGAATAATCTTTAACCTATTATAGGCTTTCGCACTGCGAGACTGTTTATGAAATCAGACACCTCTGCTGCAACTTCTGCTAGTAGAATTTCCAACAAATATATATTTTTTGAGGCCTGTGAGCGTATATTGGGATGAAGAAATCGGACTTCAATTCATATACACAGGTTTCGTGTACTCAGTAGTGGTAAGTTCATCGAACTTAACTTAGTTAATCGATTCCTTGGTCTCAGTGTTTATAAGTTTGATAAATATACTCCGTTCCAAGAAAGTGCATGATCAAGTGAGCAAAAAATGTACCAAAGAAAAAACATGTCAAACGATCAGAATGTGAACTCATATATACCACAAGAATAGATAAACATGATGACCACAATCGTTAGTATCACAGAAAATATGCCGACAAAACCAGAAATTATGTCACGTCCCGCAAATTTTTTGAGTCATTTTTCCTGTTGGAAAACGTATCGATCAGACAGTAATGGCGACTGCTGGAACTAGTTGGGCTCCTAGTCACCTCGTTCATATTCTGGACAACACTTCCGGCTAAAAAATTCCTAGTAGACACTAGAGCCGAAGTTAGTGCGATCCCAGTTACCTTAGCCAAGCAACCGATTGCTAAAACTGAAGAACTCTTTGAGTGCAACTAGTAAAACCGAGATAAAGATGTTTGAAAAACAACTGCTGACATTAAACAGATCTCTTTAAGAGATGCGTCACCAACTTTGTAAGAACTAATCAGTCCCATAACTCACATCCATTTAATAGTCATTGTAGCAGTTTATCATTCGACGAGGAAATTTACTGGATAATCATTTACTCTAACTGATCTTATGCATCAGAAAAGGGCACATTGTCTATCAGATCTAAGAGCGCTGCTGCGAATTCTGTGAGCGGACTTATTCACGATGTAACAATGAGTAATGTTATTGTTAATATACGAGAAATAAACGTTAACACTATAAACCGAACTGACTACATATATGCACGGTTAAAACGTTAGAGCCGTTCGAATCTGCCCACCCTTTCGCTTTAACGACCTTGAACGGCCTAAGCAGAGGTAGTCATTCCGTATTTCAATTGGCGTGGGTTAGTTGGATTGCATGAGTATCAAGTTTTTTTCATATATAAGTCATCTTATGTTGCATTAAAAGGCACAAAATAACTACCAAAAGTATTGATTTAGCATTCTGTTTTGTAGTGTACACGTTGGCTCTGTTGTTGCTTCGTAACTTGATCTGTGATCCCAACAACTGTAGTAAACCTCAACGAAATGTCAAGTCACCGGTAAATCCTAAGTATTTGTAGTATTTACTTGGGTTATTATTGTTGTAAGGAATAATATTTTTATAATTAATGATCTCTGTTTGTAGTGCTTCATGCTCAAGTGACATTTCAGTGGACCTTAGCGATGATTGTGAACAAGCGTTTCGCATGCTGGAATGATTTTGATAGAGCGCTAAAAGAGTTCCAATAAGTGTGGATGAATAATTTTATCCCTTCTCAGACTACTTATACTCGTTACATCCACACGGAAAGCAAGTTGCTGAAGGATGTCAGGTTCAAATACCAGTTTGTAACGTTTCACTGTACATTTGGTCACCAGCGGGAATCGGAAGTTTTGAAATTGAAGCAAAAACCGTGAGGACTTTAACTAATATCTGACGTTTAAGGTCTAAATTCCGTAATTGCTAATCAAACTTCCGTGTGACACTAGAGGAGCAAGGATATGTCGTCAAATCCTACAACATGCTCCACAATCATCCATGTAGTAGTTCATGGATAGTTTGTGATCCATGGACAAGAAGATTGTCATCCGAAGAAAAAGAAAACTTGAAGCTAGTAATATTGCACTGTCAGTCAGCAGATGATGTTATAGGAAGTATTAAGGAGAGAACTGGTAAGCAGGTAACTGCTGCCGATGTCAAAGCTATGAAAGGTGAACTCTCCACTGGTAAGTGTATAGAAATATATTTCAGGTTGCACTCGAAAGCAGGTACTGCATATGCTGCGACAAAAAGGTGAAGTGAGGGAACATTTAGAAAATGAATATGTAACGAAAGTATGTTTCAGTAGTTATGACCATATACACTTGTATAATAAATATCCGGAAGTTCTGTGTGTTGATTCTACGTATGATACTAATAATAAGAAGTGATTATGTTTTTCCTTGTATTCTACTTTGTAGATATTCATTATTCCAGTTGGTTGTAACAGATAATTTTGGACGAGGACGTACTGTAATGTTTGCGTGGACGCGAAAATAAATGCGTGCAGATGTCATCTGGATTCTTGATAAATTCAAAGAAATCATGGAAAGCACAACAGGGACAGAAACATTTGTTATGAACTGCGCACGAGCAGAAAGCGCGGCTGTCCGTATCCTACACGGGCATGCAAACATCATTATACGCACCTTTCACTTAATTCTCGATTTCCGTAAAAAGTACACCCCTGGTTGCTTACATAAAATTGCCCTTAGACACATGACAAGGTAAGGAGAACGTACCTGACTCGATTGGTAACTGCAGAAACGGTTGGAAGGTATTTTTTAAATGTATTTATTCCCCATATTTAATCAATATTTCAGAATAATAAACCAGAGAGACAGACTGATAGGCCATTACCTATCTCGTTTTTGGATGTCACGTAAAGCAATGTGGGCGCTTGCGTTTCATGGCAATATTTTAATTTCCGTCGCGAAACGGTCACCATATTTCCCGGTGATGTGATGCCTAAAAATTCTTTGTCGTCGTAGAATCCGTGTATACTCATCACTCCGTCTCGGCATATTGCTTAAACAACAAGTACAATCACTTAATGATAAATGCACGTGCAGTGAAAAATTGACAAAATAAGTACAAACAACATCGAAAACTATTCACAAAATAAGCTTGTCGTGCATATCTCCACATATGTTCTTCGATGACCGATATGCATCATAATGCACTTGGAAGCATTTATCGGCAACTGCCGAATTCTGGCCTATTCAAAATTTTTTCACAGGTCGTTTTGAAGGTCTAAACTTTCACCCTCACTTTCTATATTTCTGCGTATCTTGATATCGTTAGCAATAACAAAACCGATGACGATAGGAGATTAAAAAGATCGTGTATATACGAGAGAATTAAAACGTCCTAAATCAGTACTCTGAGGCGCTCCGTTAAATGAGGTTTCCTGACCGACAACTTGGATTTCACGCGTGCCCTCTGTTGGCGCTCAATCGCAATATTACCTAAATTCATTAACACCTGTTTGCTATGAACTTTTTGTAAGCCTAACTGAAGCTGGTGAGGGTTTCATCTATAGGTAGCTTTTATTCTTAAAGAGCTCACCAGCTTTCGAGGGATACTAATAAATTTGGGAGACATGAATAACCTGTTCTAAAACCGTACTGCTTTTCATAAAGAATGCGGTTTTCTTCCAGTCATTCTATAAGTTCTTTCGAATATTCTTCTTCAGTCTTCAGTAATAAGAATAGTAGGTTGGTGAACTTGTGTTAATCCTGACATACTGCCCTTCAGTGAAGATTCAGCTTCTCCTTGAAAATATTCACTGATGGGGCTGATACCACTTCTTGATGTATAGTGTTACAGTCATTCACTGTACCCCACTTTAAGTTCATTTGATCGCGATTTGTGAGCCCTGGAGATTTTAGCGCTGGAGGAAGCAAAAAGATGAGTCATATTATTACTCAAATCATACTTAAAGATACGAAATGTCAGTATAAGATCACCTTGCGTCCTACGATACGACAAGGGTAAAAGGCTTAAGAGGTTTAAGCGCTCACTGCAAAGGAGTTTAGAAAGACCCTTCACTAAATTTTTTCCCACACGCTGAACACGCTCAAGTGAGTTAGTATCCTTTATCAGACGTGAGCTAGCTGCTCGGATACAGTACTCTAAATGTGGTCTTACATAGGTGAGATATAAAATTCGAAACATTTACTCATCAAATCATTTGAACGCTCGGCGAAGTGACTATAGATAACGAAAACCTTTGACAGCAGCTGCGTTACAATGAGTAGCTGTTTTCACGTCTTATGTTCTTGAACGCGTGAAAGAGATGTACCATCAATAGTATAAATGTAACTATTAACGTGTCCGATGTGCATGAGCACACTCTTCCTGGAAATAACTTATAACGTGATGTGATGTTCACAGATTTTAGCAAAGCATTTGACAAGGTTTCACACTTTGGTCTTATGCAGAAGCTTTTAAGCTTCAGAATAATAGGTGCCGTACAGGAATGGATAGGAAACTTCATACGTGACCACAGACAGAGAATGAGGGTCAATGGAACGCTATCCGAAAAGAAGCGGATCAAAAGTGGTGTACCCAAGGCGCCATTTTGGGCCCTCTACTTTTCCTTCTCCACGTTATTGAATTACCGCTGTTGCTTAAGTCATCGACATTACTGTTCGCAGATGATGTAAAAATCTGGAGAACAGTATTAAGTGAGGCTGATCATTTGGATCTCCAAGCTGACTTGGATGACTTGGTTAGATAGACTCGAGGCTGTTGTCTGATCCTTTTTCTCAATAAGTTAGTCAAGCATGAACGCTTGTTATGAAACTCATGTTGCTCGGGAGTTAACAGATTGTGTGAATCTCTGTGACTTAGTAACCTAACCCGAATTATCTTCTCAAGTAACTTGTCGATTATGTTGATTAGACTGACAAACCGGTAGTTAGATAGGATTTGCCTCTGACCATCCTCAAATGTAGGACTAAATATAGCGTCTTTCCAATCTCTAGGGAGTTGAGCGAGTGAAAGGGACATGTTGAAGAGTGTCGCGAGCAAGAGATGACTGTGAATGTAATCCGTCAGTGCCCGGTATCTTATAAGGTTTGAGGTTAGTTATCAATGGAAGAACAGTTTCGTCAATCAAATGTACAGATCCAATGGCTGGTATCTCGGTGTGATTGGAACAAGTATTGGCAACAATACGCGTATAGTAAACTTCGCTAAAATAGTCTGATAGTCCTAGTTTTCGCCCGATCTGATTCAGATAGTGAATCTGAATTTTCGTGTAACAGTAACAAGGGAATACTATCGTTACGTTTTACTCGTCATCTAATATACGAAAACAATCGCTTCAGACAAGTGCAACTATCATATGCCAACTGTTGTTCGTAAATAGTATAGGATTCAGCTATGGTCTTTTTGCATATGCTCCGAATTTTTTTGTATTCACACTTAAATGATGCGTGTCCTGTTGACAAGAACAAGTCCCAGAAGTGTTTCCTGAGCCTCAACAGCTTCCGGGTTTCCTTATTAATCCATAATGGGCAATGCGATAGTTTACGTGTTGACCATGAGATAAACGGACTCGAATTTAGCCTTAAACGTATTCCATTCGTTTTCGATCGATCTATCCACGTCAACCGACCAATCAGTCGACATAGCACTGTCTCTGATTGCCAAAATATTAGCTCGACAGATATTGAGACGGAGTGGTGCAGACACAAGTTGTATGCCATGTGCCCTAAACTTAAATTAGAGTACAACGTGATCACTATTCACTAGTGGGGGGAAGGTGCGGAATGTCGATGACATCCTCACAGTGGTGTGTGAAGACAAGACCCACCAATGACGGGTCATATTACAAGTCAAGATTTGTTGGTTTTGCGATACACTGTACAAGTGCACACTGAATAATGGTTGACAGAAGGTCGACATCGAAACCCTCACCTGGAGCTGTAATCACCTTAAGGTTGGGACTGGAATATGCTATCGACAATGCTAGTCCCAATGAATAGGGCTGCCCCTTTACGTCCATGGGTTTCGTCGGTTTGTACCAACGTACACCTAACAAGGTCAAGTCCCCCAGTGTTTACAAACTGTGTCAGGCAACTTTTGTGATGGTGACTACATCAGGCTTGGCGGTTTCTATACTTACACCTGGTTCCGATCGCTTTTCGAGGGATTTCCGTAGGTTTGTGTAACGAATCTGAAGACCATTTAGGTGATTACGTTCTGTACAAGATGTGGCTTTGGTATCAATCTCTGTCGAAGCTGCATAAAAACCCACAATTCGAAGGTATTTCTCGCTAGCACTCAACCTTAGTC